CAACACAAAATCCACAAAGATCAATAAAATAATATCAAAGATTAAATAATATTTTTAATCCTTCGAATCTAATTCGCACTGTCACTTTAGTCCGTATCTAAACACACACTAAAAAATTCACGAAATCACTTGCACTGAGTCCCGCACTTTGTATTTTCAATGTTCACACGCGGCGCCGGTTTCTTGCGCTCACTAGGACCCCGATGTTAACGGATTTTAACTACGCGACGCGAGACTGACCGCTCTACGCGCGGGTCGCGGAACGACTGACTCCCCACTGAAAATGGTAGGGCGTTGGAGACAGCGCTCGAGTGGGGGGTCCCCCGGCGATACTCCGCGCACGCGTACTGAACACCCCGCATGCGCACAGAACACAGAAGACCGCTCGAGTGGGGGGTCGCCAGGCGATACTCCGTGCATACGCACACACACCGTCGATGCGTACAGAACACCGCGGGCAGTCTCAATTTGACGAGATAAGATAACTGCGAAAATTCTGAACCTAAAAAATAATTCTCTCTTAAAAAAAACAGTGCAATCACGTACAATCAAATAGTCAGTGAAAAATAATTGATTGAAGAGAATTTAGCCTGTGGATTTTGGTCTTGACCATGAAAAACACTTCGATTGGATCTCTGAAACGGGAACGGGAGTATCAGATACATTGAATTACGTTCTGTTTTCTAATCCCGTCAGCTCGAGAGCCGGTTCATATGGGGGCAAAAAATTTAAGAGGCTCCATAAAATTTTAAAATTTCAGTGAAGACCAATTTTGTAAGTCAGAAAATAACATCCACCCCACTGACAGCAGGACTGCTACTGAGGCAGTTAGCAAGTCGACTGACGTGTAGACACCCCAGCATTGCGTGTGGCGCTCTCCCTCTTTTGGGGTGCAGTACTACATGCCGCTGGGGTCACTCAAACACCCAGAACTGAGCCTCTACTTTAGTCAATCCTCTTTGCTGTGGTGAATGGAAACGCGCCGGTACCCCCAAAGCCAGCCCTCCAATTGGCCCATCCAATTTATCCCCAGATATGGGCTTGATAATCTAGTAACCTTGATGAACGCTCCGATGTTTTGCCATTTCTTCAATCACGAATCCACTGACGCCATTTTTAAATACCGGTTGACGATAGCCGGTTCTGTGTAACTCCGTGTTTTGTATACACCAGTTATTTTTATTAAACGAATAATTGTGGTTACGCATGACTGCAACAAGCAACTATTACCATTGATAATTGTTGGTGATCGATAGTAGCTTGTAGTGGATGAATTTTATTGACTCGAGGGGTAATATTTAAAGATAACGGGGCGAGTGAAAAATGCCAAGCTATTGGTGATGCCTGTTTGGTTAGAATGATATACAACAGTTCTGGCAAATTGTATATTGGCGTTGTTCATTGGGCTGTTTGTCGAGGGTGATAATGAGTGGAGAAACGAGGAGGGGTAGCAGGTCGGAGGATAGAACCAGGGAGAAAAGGATAAGGGATGTGAGGAGAAGTATATCAGGATCGAGTGAGAATGGCACGCGCTCACGCTCCAGAAATACTCCAGGTAAGGAGAAGAGGAATAGATCGACGAGACAGAGAAGAGCGAGTTCTTCTCAGTCTGGAGATGCATCAAGTGGATCGAGTCCTGAACGTAAGAGAGGTGAACGTGATTCTGGGGGTAGAAATCGGGATTATCGAAATGGTGTGAGACAAATGCATCAGGATAATACCAATAATCGGGGTGGTGGGTTTAGAAAACGGAGGCATTCACCGGGACAGATTAATTGGCAGAGAGAGCAGCTTGATAAACGTCGACAGATGTCTTCCAGGGGTCACTTCCAGGCACCGAGGTTTGATAATAGGCAGGACAACAGGTTTAGGAACAATTCGTTTGGGCGTTTTCGGGACAGAAACTGGAAGAATCAGAATCAGAGGAATTTTCGATTCAATGATAGAAATCGGGAGAGATTTCAGGAGAGGAATAATGAACGAGGGGGGCAGAATCGAAGGAATCGAGGAGGACTGGTGGGTGAGGAGTTGGGGGTTAATGATGGTGGGAAGAATAATAAAGAGGCTTCGGCTTGGAATTTAGAGAGTCCTGAGAGGAAGAGGGACAAGGAGAGGGGAGCACTGCCTAAGGCTGAGGATCCCGTTGTTTCGGTTTCGCCTGATGCCTATAGGAACAGGAGCAACAGCCCAGCGAAGAAGAAGAGGGAGAAGGAGAAGCTCAATCGATCAAGATCCTCGTCTTCGTCGTCGTCCTCGAGTGAATCGAGCTCGAGTAGCTCCAGTACTTCGTCCTCCAGCAGCTCATCCACCAGCAGCTCCTCCTCAAGTAGCTCGGATCGGGATAAAAAACGTAAGAAGAAGAAGAAGCTCTCCAAGAAGGCGAAGAAGGCTGAGAAGAAGCGGAAGGAGAAGAAGAAAAAATTGAAGAAGAAACAGAAGAAGAAGATGATGAAGGCTGCTAAGGAGAAAAAAACATCCGGGACTGAGAAAAAATCGGGCAAAGATCGTTTGATCAAGGATATCACCCTGGAGATGTCAGAGAAATCAAAATCTATGGCACCTATGACCAAGGAAGAGTGGGACAAACGACAGAGTGTCATTCGCAGAGTTTATGATGAGGAGACTGGTCGTCATAGGTTTGTATTGAAATTAAAATGCTAATTTATACAATGACTTATAGATAAAAGAAATGAGAACTTCGGTTCTGGAATATCACGGACATATGAGCATTAAGAAAAATTTCAGTTGGAATAGAAAAAAAGTTGCGATTGTAGATTATTATTCATTCCTGCAATAGTTGTTTTTCATCTTTGTAAAATTTTTATCAATGCAGATTGGTGAAAGGAGACGGTGAAATCATGGAGGAAATTGTTACCAAGGATCGCCACAAAGAGATCAATCGACAAGCAACACGTGGCGATGGTGAATATTTTCAATCACGTTTGAGAACAAATAAATGACTTAATTCTCTTTGTAACGAATTATTATTACCTAAGGATGAAACAAGATATGAAACATTATCGTGTAATTACAATGTTGTTCCAATCATTTATGAATTTAGCCTTTTCTCTTGTTTTATTATTATTTAAAACTATCAATATGACATTATTTAAAACATTACGTCAACGTGGAAGAATTATCACGATTATTTCATCATATATATGTGGAATTTGTAAAAAATAGGGGAGGGACGGGATTTTTTTCTTATTTTAATAAAATTGGATGAAATGCGTCGTGTGACCATCCCTGTAGATGGGATCGTCTGTTATTGGGGAACGGCAGAGAGGACACGTTCTCTCTCTGTCAAGCCATATTGATACACAAGGCTCGCAAAATATATGTTTGCAATGGAGTTGCACTGGTGTAGAATATTCCTCGTGACAGATGACACAGGTACCACCAGAAGCTGCCAACTGCTCTTTGGAGGGGGGCGATCCAAGGCTCTGAATAACAATAAAACATGATTCATACCGACGATAAGAAATGTACCAAATTATTTCAAGCATGTACTGGCGATAACGCTTCCAGAAACTTCATCAATGCACGTATATTTGTCCTCAATACTCACCACATTCTGCCAAAATTTGATAAAAGCATTCACTAGCAATTTCCCCCGAACTAGAAATTCCCGAATTTTTATAACTCCATATAAAGAAGCCATAATTATTCCTATAACCACTTCGGATCCATGATAAGATTGCCTGAAAAATGGCATCCAGGAGTATATAGGAATGACTGATCTGTAGAGCTGGGATAGCGCTTCGATGAAGAGGTAGTATTTTCCCTAAAATCCAAAATTGAGGGATGAAAATATTGCACCCGATGAAGATAAGCGCATCTTGCTCACCCTCTTTTGAAACGGCAGAATGCTTCCAGGCAGACAAGTCAAGAGTGTCTTCACAGCAACGGTAGAGAGTTTAACCGCGAAATCCGTAATAATGTTGCCCCAGAGTAAATCCCAAAAAGATCGAAACTCCAAAGAAATGAAGAACCAATAATTATCGAGTACAAGCGAAGTCATGGCTAAGGCACCAAATGCATAACACAGAATATGAAAAAGGGATTTGCCACTTTTGCTGGCTTGCTTGGCAATTTCCTTCTTTAAATCATTATTCGCCTTGACGAATGCAACCAGGAGCACTGCTAGGCACAGGGTGCCGGATCGATGGTCATAGATAGCTTTTGTCAGCAATAATGCAGCAAATGGGAGATGATTCTGAATTGTTTTAAATAGCTCCTGGGCCTCTGGCCTCATTGGCAACGAATCCACCGACGGATCCCCACTATCATTGACACTCTCATGATTATTCCCATTACTATTGCTAATAATACTATTATTACTGTTGACGGCATTCGTGGAAGCCTCTCGTATATTGTTGTAAAAATTATCTGCTGCCGTTGACCTTTGGATGTGGACGTGGTGCTCGTGGTGAGAATGCGGTGGATTTTGGGGTTGAGGAAGTGGTGTCGACGGTTCATCATTTAAATTTATCACAAATGAATCCGTGGGGGGGCTTGTTATTGCCTGGGGTGGCTGCGCCACGTAGTTAGTCTGACCTGGAAATCTTGCGTTCAGCCAGGATGTCAGGGACATTGAATTCTGGAAGAATAACTCCGGATGAATGTTTAAATTATTTCTGTTGTCTTAATAACAAAAAAAAGGGAATAATTGGGAGAGTGAGAAAGGATGTAGTGGAACGGCCTTTATCAAACTTATATAGAAAAATCATTTATAATTTTTTTAATTATATTTTTTGACAAAACATTTTTTCTGTGTTTTTTTTCTATTGTCATATGAAATCACATGTATGTATAAATGGGTAAAATCGGGGAATGAATAAAATTTATTGGTTTGAGTCTTCCCACGTCTATTTTCATCAACAAGTATTCATCCCTCACTCTCCCGCAATAATATTCAGGTACTTACAGAGTAGGCTTGAGATATAATCGGCCTGATGGCATCTAAATTAGTTGGCACACCATTGGGGAAGATACTGGAGGCAGTCGTACGATTGACCTCTGGGATGGCTTGAACTGTGCGTGACGTATGAGTCATGAGGATACCAGGTGGTGGGTTGGGATCTTCCTCTGGAGACTGAGGGGTTGATGGGGATGCTGAAGGTTCTGGTGCAGAAGCACTGACATCTGGTTCAGGCATTTTTTCTCCACTTGTTGTTGTCGTTATTTATTAAATCAACCAGATAATCACGACCTCATTATCTACACTCCATAGATTCTGTATACATCCGTTGCAAGTTATAATCGACGTGTGAAACGTGAGCAGGTGAGGAGTTTCAATCAGATAATATGGCTCAGCGATCCCAATGTCAAGTGATCTCCAGAACCCAAAAAATCGTTTTCCTCCAGATGATCACGATAGGGCACAATTTCTTTGCTTTCTATTTCTCCCACTCATTGCAATTGCACTTTGAGGTGATTGTTATCCATTGGATGACTGATCATTGCGCGTTTTTTTATTGTTCAATGTCGGAGAGCCAAATGTACATGAAATATAACAAAAAAATAGGAGTCTTCACTTCACACCCTCAATGTAGAACAAAGAGGATTGACTAAAGTAGAGGCTCAGTGCTGGGGGTTCGAGTGACCTCAGCGGCATCATAGTACTGCACCCCAAGAGAGGGAGGGCGCTACACGCAATGGGGGTGTCTGCCCATCAGCCAACTCGGTAACTGCCTCAGTAGCAGTCCCGCTGTCAGTGGGGTGAATGTTATTTCCTGCGTTACGAAATTGGTATTCACTGAAATTTAAAAATTTTATGGAGTCACTCAAATTTTTTGCCCCCGTGTGACCCTTAACCAAATCCAATTATTTCCGTTTTTCAATTTTATATTTAAAATTTGAAACTGAAATTTAGCGCCAGTTCTGACGAGTTGGCCATTTTTATTCGAGTCGCACGCCACTGTACATGGCTGACGAGAATATCGTCATCACTGGGACTTATTGACAATGGTTGGCTAATGACCAACCATTAGGATGAGAGTATTATCCCGACACTTGGAACAGGCTTGCTCCCGACTACCTGAAGGTTGTCGGGCCCTGCCTTCCAGTGAATAACAACAACATTGTTATTGTCAGTTATTCCTTGATTGGTGTTGGAATTCAACGGTTGGATAAAACCTGAACAATGGAGGACGAAGAAATGGAGCTGAGTGCTGAGAGTATTGAGATTAATGAAACAGTTGGCATGGAGAGTAGATTTTTGGAGCTAGAAGAGGAGGAGGACAGAGTGGAGGCTCCAGATGGTGAAGAGTGTGATGAAGAAGATGATGATGCTGAAGAGGATGCAGATGAGGCTGAGGTAAAGCGATTGGAGGCGGTCCTGGTTACAAATCCTTACGATTATGATAGCCATGTGGCAGTCATTTCAAAACTCGAAAAAATGGGGGATTTGGATAGACTCAGGGTCGCCAGGGAGAGGATGAGCTCCAAATATCCACTCAGCCCTGATATGTGGCTGCCCTGGATCAAGGATGAGATTAAACTTGCTGTGAGTGATGATGAGAGGAATGCTGTCGAGAAACTCTGCGAGAGGGCTGTTAAAGATTATTTGTCTGTTGACGTATGGCTGGAGTATCTCCAATTTAAGATTGGATCTATGGGGAGTGACAAGAGCACCACTGACAAAGTCAGGCAATTATTTGAGAGAGCACTGACAACAGCTGGTCTACATGTCATCGAAGGTGCCATCATCTGGGAGGCTTTTCGAGAATTTGAGATGGTTCTTGTGTCATTGGCATCGAATGAGGCAGACATGAAGGAGCAACTCGATCGCGTTGGTCGTCTCTTCTCTCGGCAGGTGGCTTGTCCTCTTCTGGATATGGAGAAAACCTGGGATGAATTCAGAACGTGGCGTTCTAACGAAGGAAAAGAAGCAACACTGGATGATGACACTGTCACTCTAGTTTACAAACGTGCCTTGGAATGCTTAATGCCTCGCATTCCATTCGAGGCGAAACTGATGGCCACTCCGAACGGGAGTAAACTCCTGGATGTATATAAAGAGTACATCCTCTATGAGAAACAGCACGGAAATGCAGAGCGAGTAATTGCCCTGTACGAAAGAGCAGTAACGGAATTGAGTTTGGAGTGGCAGCTGTGGCTGGATTACCTCGAGTACGTCGAGTCAAATATCAAGATGGAGAGTGTGCAGTTGTCAATTTACGAAAGGGCCGTCAGGAACGTTCCCTGGTTCTCAAAGATCTGGATAAAATGGCTGAGATCGTTAGAGAAGTGGGAAAAAAATCAACTGGAGGTCCTGACCATTCTGGAGCAGGCACTGACTGCGGGATTCTCCACTGCTGACGACTACAGGAACGTCTGGATGACGTACCTCGAGTATCTGCGACGCAGAGTAGTTGCAAAATCATCAGATAAAGAGAAAGAACTGGAGGTCCTGAGGAGGGCGTCTAATGAAGCCTGCGAGCACTTGGCCAAATCCTTCGGCCTCGAGGGCGATCCACAGTGCGTCGTACTCCAATTTTGGGCCAGAACTGAAGCCATTCATGCCGATAATATGGAGAAAGCTAGAAGTTTGTGGGCAGATATTCTGTCACAGGGGCATTCTGAGAGGGCTGCCAGTTGGCTGGAGTACACCACCCTGGAGAAGTGTCATGGTGACACTAAACACCTTCGCAAGCTTTATCAGAAGGCTCTAGCTGCTGTGAAGGACTGGCCAGAGAGCATTGCAAACTCTTGGATCGACTTTGAGAGGGATGAGGGCACCCTCGAGCAGATGGAAGCCTGTGAGATCAAGACTAGAGAGAGATTGGAGAAGATTGCTGAAGAAAGGGGGAAAAATCAAGCACAATGCTCTCCTCAGGAAGAAAGTGCCCCTCTGAAGAAGGCTGCCAAGAGGAAGCATAAGGATGCTGGAGGGAAATGGGAGAATTTTGGGGGCTCTTTGATAAAACAGAATAGAGTGGAGAAGGCTCCAGGTAAAGATCGGTCCGGGATTGAGAAGAGTAAAGAGACGGGTCAGAGGAATGAGAGGAAAGGAACACCTCCTCCAGGATTTAAACCACCTCCAGGGGAGGAGTCTATGGACACTAGTCAAGAGATTGACGAGAAAATATCGATCTTCGTGAGTAATCTGGATTACGTGACTACCGAGGAGGAAGTTAGAGAGGCATTGACTCCGGTTGGACCAATAGATTTGTTCAAGATGATTACGGACTACAAGGGGAGAAGCAAGGGCTTCTGCTACGTCACGTTGAGCAATCCTGTAAGTTTGTTTGATGAGTTCATTTGAAATAACAAATTTGGGAGTTGAGGAACTCCAATACGAATCTGTTTTCCAGGATGCTGTGGAGAATGCCTTGAAACTCGATAGAACACCTATAAATGGACGACCTATGTTTATATCTCGGTGTGACCCCAATAAAACTACTCGGGGCAATGCCTTCAAATACGCTTCTACATTGGAGAAGAATAAACTTTTTGTTAAAGGTATTTATGAAATTTAATTGTGGAATTTTGTCCAATTCCAAGATCATTGAAATCGATAAATTTAATATCATTCAATTAAAAGATAATAGTTTGATTTTTTTTTAATTATACTTCAGGACTCCCTGTGAAAACCACGAAAGAGGATCTAGAAACAATTTTCAAGGCGTATGGACCTCTAAAAGATGTTCGTATCGTCACCTATCGGAATGGGCACTCGAAGGGTTTAGCTTACGTTGACTTTGAGGACGAAAATTCCGCGAGTAAAGCTGTACTAGCGACTGATGGACTGACTATCGAGGACAAGGTAATTAGTGTCGCAATTAGTAAGCCCCCGGAACGAAAAAAGACTCCAGAGGAGCCTCTCATCAAGTCCCTGGGAGGTACCACAACGAGCAGAACCCACTTCGGTGTTCCCAAGACACTTCTCTCGATGGTTCCACGAAATGTAAAGACAGCAGCCAATGGCATAACTTCAGGAAAACCTGAGGCCAAACCATTGAATAATCAAGATTTTCGAAACCTACTTTTGAGTAAAAAATCGTAAAACAATGTTTTTATTATTCTTATCAATATTACGTACTGAAAATCGATGTGTGATGAGCATAGAGATGATAAATGATGAAAGACAGGTGGACACTACACTTGGAACCTTAATTAAGACTTCAAGAACAGAAAAACATACTTGTAATTATTATAGGGATAATAAACATTTAAATAGATAAGGAATAAAATAAAAGAGAGATTTATATACAGAAAACCCAACTATGGAACATGTTTTCCAACGAATTTATCAATCGGGGAGTTGAAGATGTAGATTATTCATCGATGACTGTCTTTTGTGTCTGGGTGGTGCAACCGGTGGTTGACTCACAAGAGAAGAATTTCCACTCTCCGAAACGAGTCTTCTGACCATCAGCCACTGCTTGGCCCTTCCAGCATGATAGTAATAGGCATAAAGTAGAGAAAATATCGCCAGAACGACCAAAAGACACGTTCCAGAAATGATAAAGCCGAGAAACCAATAGTTTGATGCTTCCGGAGTATACGTGGAAGTGTCTGTTGGTCTTGCTTTTGTCGGTGTTGGTCGTTTTGATGGGGTTGGGGCACGCGTTGGGAGTGGTGCAATGTTGTCGCCAATTGTTATGTCTGCACAACCACGGAATTCTTCCTGTGGGCCACAGCCAACTGCGCCTGAAATTATTTAATGATTCTCCAATCAATTCGTTCCCTCAAATTCCTAAATGGCTTTTTAATTCATCCAAACTGTACTCCTTGCCACACAGGATATGAAACTTTTGCTTGTCTCATAATTACTGCTGTAACGGTTACTTCCTTGCTAATTAAAAATCAATCATCGATAAAATGACCTGGGGATATTACAAGCCTTTCGATGTCATCATAATAAAATTCTTCAGGTCTTTCACAATCTATTCATGTCACTATACGTGAATTATAAGATGTCCACTGCAACTTTCTAACTGATAACGTCCGTTCATTATCGATTGTCATGCACGATAGCTCGTTTATAATTACACGTACAATCAAAAATTACGAAATCATATGAAAAACGCTATTTATTTATCAAGGACGTCGAGTTAATTTTAGAATGAGTCAAGTCTATGACGTCATCATCATTGGAATATTTTTCTCAGCTCAGTATTAATAATGAGACATTAATTATAAATGTATTGATTATGGTACCTGTTCCATTTCCACAGTCACCCCAATTATTACCAGCGATGTACCTCCACTGGAATACGCACTGGGCGCATGTTACGGTTTTGGGTAATTTGTAGAAACTCTCGAAAATCCTGTTACCTGGTCCTGGGTAATATCGAGCAGTTCCGTTCTCTTGATTAAGTAAATTTTCATCGAGACACTCTTGTGTCGCGTCTTCATTTCTAACGGTTAATCGACAAATTCGAAATTCAAAATAACCGTAATGATTGGCAGTTAATTCTACACGCACTGGGATCACATCACCGGTTTTGTATTTCCTCACTATCACATTCTTACCGTATGTTCCACCAATTTCGTGAGCTCTTGGCTGTAATGAAGTGGGGAAAAAAAAAATTATTCCAAGATTTCCCAGATATTTCTCACGAATCACCTCAAAAGTTCAAATTTTCATAATAACATTTTTTATAGTACTTAATTAGCTTGTGAAAAAAACTTCTAATCAAAATTTCAATATTTGCTTTCTCTTCGGGGATATTTTGAGGAAAATAAAAGAAATGAAACAAGAAGTTCACCTTCTCAGAGTCCCAAGGATCTCCACAAATTCCACATTTCCCTTTGTTCCTTTGCCACTGCCGAGTGAATCCCCCACAATATGCCTCATGATCATTATAATCATGTGGGGTATCGAAACCATATCGCCACATTGAAGCACGCGATGGTGGTTCAATCAGACGTCCATGGGAAGAAACCTGGATGACCATGAAACACCCCAGCACCACCAGTCCAAGAAAACTCCTCATGACGACGCCTCTACGATCCTAAATAAATCAAATGCCTGCAAATTGAAACACTCGCCTTAATCTACCATGACTAATGAATTCCAGTCATGAAGGGATGTTCGAGAAAACAATGGCTAGCAATGTGGGAACAATTGCAGACACCTGACATATGTAGCACTCGTCCTCTCAGACCAAGGCTGTTGAACTAAGCTGCTAACAATGGACTGAATAAAATCATCCAATCGACTACTGTAACTCGACACTGAAGTCCTAAAACAATTGATTTTCCCCCCGTCTCATCGAGAATTTGATCGAGCCATTTCCTTTGCAGCCTCAAAGATAAAATACCCACAGAAAAAAAAAATCCCCTGAAGATTTCGGCTGTTTCCCTCAACCCCAGGATTACTGGAAGACTCTTATCAGGGGATTCATCCCCTATCACTTGACCCTGATTAATCGATTGAGCTCAATCTATCTGTCTGACCTAAAAGACCCCTTTCCACTGGAATTGATCTAGTGGAAAATTGAAGCAAACGCGTCTCAAATTGTTGAACCACTTCACGGAATTATTTTGAGTGCAAACTTACTGATCTCTGGAGAGAATCGATTTAATGATCCATCAAGTACACTTTTTAGGAGAAAAATTGGAGGAAAATGGGACAGGCGTGTGAGAGTCGGCCGGAGTGACCGGTCGACGTCGACTGAACCCTGGACAACTCGACTGGTTGTTCTCTTCAGTTCTGTTCACTTCTGTTCGTTTGAGAAAGGAGCGACAAATGGCGTTCTCCTTTTCGTGTAGGAGTAGGTCATCGGAGCGTTGAGCTTGCCCGCATTTCAATCAACGACAATGAAACTTCCTCGATGAAAAAATAATTCCTCACCCACTCCTCAATTTCATGTGTAATTTTCAATTTGATTTTCAGAAACATTTCCGTGGAATTTCCACACAACGAAGATTTATGGAACTTGAATCGTAAATTTCTGTCAAAAATTTTGAATACACGCAGTTACACCGAGAGAGCGATCATGAACTCTTTCTTGAACTTTCACACATTTCCTCACCCGCCGTTGGGATTCTACTTGACAAACCCAGAGTCTTCCACACGGTCAGAGAGTAGGGAGAAAAAAAAAACAATAAACTCTAGTGGACAGAAAGAAATTTCACCGTTTTCTAGGCACTGGAGACAGTGATGAACGCCGATGGGATTCGCTTTCGTGGACGCCGCAGGCCGCAAATTTCCATTCGACTGAATTCCCACTTCGATTGGTCATACAGGAAGAAGGAACAATCAGCCCAGGATAAAAATTCAATAAACCATGGAGTGGAATAAAACGCTTGACCAGAGAGTATAATATATTAAAAAATTCAGCGAGAGAGCTCTCCCCAGTTCAGGTAATGTATTCAGTTCATTAATATTCATAAAGAGGTCATGGGTCGATTCAGATGACCCAACAGTGGCTTTCACCGGGTCAGATATTGGGCGTCCGTTGGTTTTTTTTACAAGTGCAGGGCAAATAAATTACACGATGCAGAGTAGTTCCGGTGAGGGAGCAATGAAAATATTTATAATTTATTCATAAGCCTGACAAAAGCCCGAGCCCAGCAAAAAGCTGAGATTGTAGAGGAAGGTCTACAACCTCTCGACATCATCTACACCGGATTTTGGTACCGTTGGTGCAGCTCGCGTGGGACCTTGAAAAGTATTAATCCCCCCCACCGGGGACTACAGGCATAACCGGTCTTATTGTAGTACACGAGCTCCTTTCTGGAAAATCGATCACGTTTACTATACATTCTAAAATATTTACGTGGGGAGTGAGAGTTGTCACTTCCTTATTCCTGGAAACGCGCGCCTTATCGTTATTATCGTTCGTAAAGATGAAAAACTCTGGACATTCTGATGATTAAAAAAATTCGAGACCCTGGAAGGGATTTAACTTTCATATTATACCTCAAGACCTCCGAATCTGTTCTTCTAGGAACTCGAATTGCAAACGACAGCTTCCGTTCTGCTCGTTTTCCCCTCAAATGAACCGCAAAAGTGAGAAATCGTCATTAAATACATAGGGAATGGTGCGGTTAATGGATTTATGACGCGACGATTCACCAGAGGAAAACGGAAGTTATTCATTGGACTCTCGAGATCGTGAGAATCGGTGAATCAGTGGATAAATTTTTATACTCACGCTCGACGGTATGCAAAGGCAAATCTAAATACGAATGCGCTATTTTCCACCTGAAAACGTCACAATTATCACGGCAAAAAGGTTTCCTTGAGTTTCTTGTTGTAGTAATTATCCAGACAAAAATTATGCTGGTAACAGTTTATTCTAGAACACAGTAAATATCGAAAAAGATACAGATTCTGTCGATTAGTTTAGAGGTAAAAATGATTTTCACGTGTAATGGAAAATTGAGCAATTGTGTGTGCATATGTAGAGTGTAAAATGTATTGAATGTGATAATAGATCAATAGAAAGTCATCACTGCAGCTGTGTCGTTGCTCATTGCAAAAAAAAATACATGGGAAAGAATATTATAAATAGCTTTCCAAACGAAAAGGCGGAGGTTCAAAATTTTGGACAAATAATTATGCGATATTTACACGAAGCCATAAAAAAATTCTGACCAGTAATCATCAACGGCAATTAATTCTCAAACGTAATGAATAAACAAAGGTGGCAATTAGCGCTTAATGAATTCAGCACAATGAGAATGCGTTTCAGACCATTCTTCTCATTTCCTTGACGACTAAATGCTATTGTCTAGTAACAGTAAAGTGTACAGAGATGTAATAGACAAATTCTAGTTGTGCACAGATTCTTTGCCTACAGAATAGTATAGATCACGTATATTTGGTCATTAGTCTCTTATCGCTAGTATAAATATTTCTGGAGGAAGTTTTTGTTCGTTAATGTGCGAATGTGCTTGGAAGAATGATGATATTCCAGTTTCCTTGACACAATTGGAGATTAAAATCTCGTACTGATTCTTAAGGCAATTGTCAGCTTCCTCTGTCCCAATTTACTTAATCCCCTCGTACTCTCCAATTAGTCCATGGACTTTTATTTTTATAATTGTTCCTTCTTGCACTCTAGTCTTTACTCGTTGCAATCTCAATACTCTCTTAATTTCAAGATATTATTAGTTTTGATTCTATCAGGGAGTTAAATCGAGTTATTTGATTATCGTACTTGTTAATTCGTAGTTCATCTCGAGTTATCTAATAAATTAATGGATCTCGTTAGACAAAATTTATGATTTTTTGATTATGCATTCACTAAGTGATCGAGCATGCACGTTACATGAACACATGTTAATTATCAAAATGAATGATTTAATGGCGGCTAACTAACTTTATAAAGATTAATTAAAAGTATTTCTAAAAAATATACATATTTATATACCCTGCGAAATAATCTCAGTTAATCAGGGTTCCCATTTCCTAGAATTCTCAAAAAAATTGGCGAAACGGTTCGAAATTGAGGGAAATAAATACAAGGCGCGAACATCCCGGGGTTTTCTACTGGGAGTATTTTCATTTTAGTTGGGGCAATTTTTTCTGGCCCACGATCCGATCTCGAAGGACATTGAAGTGACCCTGTACTTGGGATACCTGAGCTTTCAAGGAGTCGGTCAGTTGTTTCTGGAGTTGCTGGACTTCCAGAATCTCCTGGCGAAGGCTCTGGTACTCGTCCTTCACCTGAGCCACTGATCGAATTAGCGTGAGCACTGACAACTGAAACAATAATATTTTTTATTTATTTTGTTGGTGATGGTGGATATTCTTCTCCACGTCAATAGAATTAATTTTATCAATTTAATTATGATGGAGAATACATACCTCATTGTCCGGATCCGGGAATTCCTTCTCGAATGCCTCAATTTTCCAAGTGATCGACGCTAATTTCCCATTAGCCCTGTGAACCTGCACAATCCCATTGACGTCAGTAACCCGGTGCTCCAATAAATGTTAAATAGAGTAGGTTAAATGCCAAAAGGATACATACACTCTGCTCCAAGTTCATGATAGCTGACTCCATGGCTGGCTCCTTCGGATCGCTGGTGATACTAGATATCATGAATTCGTTGAAAAATATCAATTACCCAATGAAATAGATAATTGAAGCAAGAGCCGGTTGATAATCTGAGGAGATCAGACCGGTTTCCCTCCGGAGAGAAGCGTCGGCTGTCGTTTGCTAACTGACATTATTTTCAAACGATCAGCTGATGCGCAGTGCTACCGGCGCGCGTCGCTGCTGTCAGGTTGCGCCCCAAGGCGGCAAATTTCAATTACCTCGACTGTTTTCCAACCCCATTGTCCTCACCACTTGATGGTCAATGAGCAGGCATTATCTTTTTAATGGGGCAGGCTATAAAAAGGGAAAATGATGAGAATAGCTGGTGCTGGAACAGTTTCACACGATGGATGGATAAGTTTGCGGAGGCTGAATGCTCTCAATGGACCCCAAGCGTATAAAAGAAAATCGATGGTGGAGAGTGCAAGGAGGCAAAAAAGGGGAGAACGAGGTCATGCATTTATAACATATCTCCTTCCTACACTTGATGGAGTGTACGATACCGCTGGCTGCAATATTTCGAGGATTGTTTCTGATTTCATGGCTCGACCCACTTTTTTCTGGAAGCAGAGGGAGAATATCGGATCAAGGATTATGTCTTTCTGCATGGTAATTCTGGAAGTTAATGCTGAATTCTCAGGGTTACGATTAATCCTGTTTAAAATCGAATCTATTCAGCCCTTCAATTTTTTTATTTCAGATATATTACTTCTTCTATCACTTGTAAGTGGTGCGCACGGTGAGGATTAAATGAAAAGATTTTTACTGCGGCACTGGGGGTCTGCTCTGAATTTTTGGGGAGGATAATTCATTTTTCAGAAAATTGATTTCTTTTATCTACTGATGGAGTAATAAACCCTTCGGAGACAGGAAACAATAAAATAAATTTAAAAAATCCGGAGACGATGTATTTTTATTTTCTTTTGTATCTCCGCAGGAAGTGATTCTGTGTTCAGTTCTGTTCAGAACCTTTTAAACATGACATCATTGAGTCCATAAATTGATTCCTGCAAACATTATGTACATGTTTGATATAAATTTCTGGCTGAAATATCCGGTACATTTCCTAGAAATGACGAATGAGAATTCTACAGAATACTCCTCATCCAAATTTATAATTTTCCTCAAAAATCAATCGCGATTATAAATCCATCTCAACTATTCCACGTAGAAACTATAAACGAGGGAATAGTGTTTGATGAAATCACTCCACCACTTTACCCTGAAATCTCGGGGAATCGGTTTAGAATTTCAAATTTTCCCCAGTAGTGCAGGCGTTGAAAGCCCAGACGTTTATTGAAAATCAAAAGTGCCACCCAAACTTTCAAAACCTTAAACTCCACTAGTCCACGAAACTCCGAGACATTCAAGGAATTGTTTCCTGGAAAACTCCACATTCAAATTCCATCAAAGGAATTTCTCCAGAAACAATTTCTCGACAAAAGAAAATTTAGAAATTCAGTCACCCCCAAATTTAAATAATAAAAAACCCGGAAACAACCATAAACCGACAAATAGATAATTTCCCCCAAAAAATTCCCACCGTTTCGTATTTCAGTATCTATTTCCCCTTAATCTAAGAATTTCTAGTTGTCTACGGTGTATCACCTCCGCCTAGTATTAAAATTTCGGTGGCGAGGTGTAACAATCTCCCCGGAAATATGGATTCCACGGCCTTCATTATTTATTCCCCCTGGATATTCAATCTACTGAAGGATGATGAAAGGATACTCAAGAGTGGGTGGACCCATGGTCATATATCCGTCTCAACGAGACCGATTACCATATCAATAACATCTGAAGTCAACGGCATTTTTATTATCTCTGAATTGGCGATTGTCACCACAGGTTTAGCAATGTCAAGAATCCGACAGACCTTGAGTCAAAAAGGCCAGCCTCCCCGTCGAATTCACACATTTTGGATGATAAATTGGGCGTTTCCGGTGTCACTATCAGTCCCCGACACTTCCGCGAGGTATTAATCAGGTGGATTAACCGGAGTATAAATACCAGAGACACTGACTTATTTTTGCAGTGATCTCCAAGACCTCCAAGATGAAATTTTCACTATTTGTTATTATTCTGGTGAGTTCAGGAAATGCCTGGCCATTTGGTTGGCGACGAAACGCGGAGGATAACGACGTGGACAGCTCTAATGAACTTCTGACACACCTGGGGCACTTGGAGGAGAAGATGTTCGGTGTACCGAGCAATGAAACTGGCGCCAAAGTGGCGGAGTGGAGTGAGGAGCAGGGCATTAATCCTGAGGAGTTGGGAGAGTATGCAGAGGGTGATATACTTTTTCCCTTGGGACACTCCAGGAATGGACTTATCGCTCAGACTTCACGATGGCCCAGTGGAATTATTCCGTACATGATCAGCCCGTATTTCAGTGAGTCAATTAATCGAGCCCTCAATTATGCCAATCGTTAACAATTTATGACACTGTTGTACAACTGGAAAATTAAACTACTTAATTCTTCACATTCTCTCAATTGCTCAATGATCTAGTAGTGAATTAGCTCAGGAGAAAATCTCAGGGGATTTATGCGTAGGGTTTTATGACGGAGGTGAAGATCCGCTTGATATCCGTCTGAAGTAATCTGCCGGATGAAGAGACCATTTTCTGTCTGTCCGATGTCAATGACCTAGCAACTATTTTATTGATAGAGAATCCGTGACTGTAATTACGTGGGGTAAATTTGGATGAGCATGAGAATGTAATTTAAATCTATGAAAATCAGTGAATGCAGAATTTTTGTGCGAGTTGGCACTTTAAGAGACTTGACTTTGCGATTTTTAGATAAAAATCAGAGGGCCCTGATAATGGAGGCAATGAACGATTACCACGAAAGCACGTGCATTCGCTTCATTCCGTACGCGGGTGTACAGAGTGATTACATTCGCATCACAGCTGGAAACACCGGTTGTTGGAGCAGTGTTGGAAGAATAGGTGGTAGACAGGACGTTAATCTCCAGGTGCCAGGTTGTGTGACGAAGAAAGGGACAATTATTCACGAGCTGATGCACGCGGTGGGTTTTCTTCATGAACAGAGCCGCTTCGAGCGCGATCAATTTGTGACAATCAACTGGCACAACATAATACCAGGTAATTTTTATACACCAGTGCAATTTTTTCCACGTGATTTTCACCACCCATCATCCGCTATCAGACAGATGTTGAATGATATCATCGTTATTTAGGTCGCTCCGGGAACTTTGATAAAGCGTCCAAAGGCACAACTGATGGGTTTGGAGTTGGCTACGATTATGGAAGTGTCATGCATTACTCGGGAAACGCTTTTTCAGTTAATGGACGACCAACGATCGTTCCTAGGGTTGGTATTTTTTTACTTTCTATAAAATCCATCATTCGTCAATATTCTGTAATTATCAATTATTCGTTCATGATTCTATTGCTTTTCATAGTCCCATCCTTTTCTATTGCTCATTCATAGTTCGAGGCGAAGCTGAGGAATGTAAACACAGTCGTCAGAAATAGTATATTTCGATTATTGCGATTATGTTTGCATTCCGCGGTTTCGCCTCGGACTCTAAACTCACAATCGCAGGAAAAGTTCTTTTTGGCCGAGTGACAAACGATATTTTGTCTCATTCAGTCTGTAGATTTTGATAAGTCATGTCGAGAAAAAACCTGAGATATTCTTCTGAAATAAATCGTCAAGACGAATACAATATTCAACGATAATTCCTTATCTCCCGGATTACGTCTTTAATTACTATGAAATTGCTCTGTGTTACACTTCACGTCAACAATTCCTCATTACGTACAAAAATATATAATATCTCATTGAAATACCAATAATCAATTGAAAGAGACGGAAGAAAAAATTCCGACAAGATTGCGGGAGACCAATTTAATCGTTGAATATTCGAGATAACAGTGATTCTATAATTTTATGATAAAGATGATAAAACAACTTGATTGTGATTTCCTAGGAAGGAAACGGCCTTCTGGATCTAATAGGCGAGGTTTTCCAGGGAAGAACTAGCATAATGCTCGGACAACGTGAGGGCTTCAGCAGACGAGACATTCAGAAAATCCGGAGAATGTACAGGTGCAGCAAACGCCGACGAAGTTACAACTGATTATCGACGATTCCGACGTTGGAACAGCTGGAGAACTGCACCAAAAGCCTGGGCTATACCAAATCTGCTTTTCGAATCATCGAATGAAGTGCGTGATGATAGCTGGGTCTCGGCATTCCCTGGTGATGACAAAAATTAGTCTAATTACTACCTCAAACCAAATCTGTGTGTTTCCTCTATGTGTGACTGAATAAAATGTTATTTCATGAATTCCCATGAATCAATGGATCACTCGATGATAACCAACGACTGAAAAAGATTGATGGATAATTTACCTGATTAGTAGACCAGAAGCACTCGGTGAATTCACGGGCTCGATTGCATGGATCCGATAATACTGGATAATACGATACGATAAGATTTCATTGCAGCGTTTAATAGCTGATTGGAATAATGTGCTCACCTGGTTTTGTACACCTCTCCAAAATAATTTCCGTGTCGATTTCAGATTGCTCAGCACTGAGCATCCATGATCTAATATTGTGCACTCTGAAGCTTCCATGGCGGTCCATCTGCAAAATTTTTCATTCGTTTTATGAATGAATATCTGGATTTTTCCCATTTTAAACACAATTTCATTATCTACACCATTGATACGATAATGGACTATTCTGCTTTGTTGAGTTTTATTGTCGAATTCTTTGGGAACGGGATTTAGATAATATAATGATAATTACTCACCCAGTGATGCTCACTGTAGATGCATAACAAGAAACACTGCAATCACAAAATTAATTGACAATCAGCCCAAAAACTCAGTGACAACTAATTTGAATTTATGGTATGTCTTTATTCTTGTGCATTGAGATTAATTTTCAATGATTGATCAGTCATTGTGTGGCTTTCACAATGATGCTTACAGCGAGTTCATGCTGGGCCTGATTCTCCAAGTGATTAAAGTTGTGATGCATCATGTAGTCATTGAATATGTGTACGTCAATGGGGTCGCTGGCATTGCAGATACGAACGACCGCCATATCCTCTCGGATAGCCTGAAATTAATTCCCCAATGTTGATCTAGGCTTATCGATTATCCATCCAACATCAATCACTTCTCGATGATTTTTTATTTCTTTATTTGCTCTTCTCTCCCAAGTACTTACGCTCTCTGAGCTGAGATTCAGAATCGCCCCACAGAGTACAATTCGTCCTATTAGTTTATCCATTGTTTAATTACTAAATTTTTATTATATACGTATTTAAATTAGAGAGTTATTTAATAAATTAATGATACTTTGCGTTAATACTTGATCTTTACTCCCGAATGGGTAAAGCACGACTGACTCGTGCGCAATCCCACAAGTGCCTGATAAACGAAATTCAAGTGTTAACGCGCGTGGCCGATGATAAACCGACAACTTCCTAGAAATTGCGTATGTCGATCGATTAAATATCCACAATTGAGTAGATAAATCAAGGCATTGAACAACAACAAATATGTTTACGAGTTATCAATTTTTTATTACCCCTAGTATCTTTTCCCTCCAACTTCATAACATCGAACTTATTGATACATGGACTTGTACAATCGATTAATAATCTCTAACGGCAGTAAAAGAGTCTCTCACTTTCACCGATGATCTACCAGTAAATCAATGAGTGGTAGATTCATTGTTTCATAATTGGACGGAATCGATCGATCTAATCGCAATCATTGGAATTTCCACGATTATCTTCAATGAATTTACGACACGAGATGAGTCCAAAGAATAATCTCTGCAGTATTTCGTTACCACGAGGTGAAATAATGATATAAATTTAATAGGATTTAACTTTTAAAATCGAATCCTGGCATTTGATTGTCTAAAAAGCGAGTGTCTCCCTCAGGACCGAGCCCACGATCTTTTGATGAAATCAGCGGCTCGTTCTCCAATCATAATAGCCGGTGCATTAGTATTCCCCGAAGTGACCCTCGGCATAATGCTGGTGTCAGCGACTCGTACCCCACGAACCCCCCGGACCCTCAATTGATTATCGACAACCGCCAGGGGATCATTATCAGGTCCCATCTTGCAAGAGCCAGCTTGATGATTCTCCGGTGCAGTATCGCGCTTGATAGCGCACTCCCAGTATGCGTCACACCCAAATTTCAAGTGTTCACAGCCTTTTACTGGGGTTTTATCGAGTTCAAATGCGTATTTTGAGAGTGTGCGCGTTTGTGCGAGTCTTGTAGCGAATTTAATGCCCTCGATGACGCCACCCACGTCGTCTGGATGAGTCAGATACCTCGGGTAGATGAGGGGTTTCGATAATGGATTATTGTCCCTCAATCGGAGATACCCACGACTCTTGGGGTGCAGGAGCGTTGGGATTATGTAAATACGCCTTTTGCCTCCCTTCTTCTCCCCCACCATTCCTGTTTCAGAGCAGTCTGCCAAGTATCCACCGAAGATCAATTGAATATCCGGGTGATCCTCCTGGGGATTGGCGTACTTCGTATTTATCATTGCAGTCACCTCGGAAATTCCTGGGAATAAAATAATCGGCTCTCAGCAAGTGCGTAGGTGTCAAGATGTGAGATTAGTTGGAATTGCACGACCATAGACACGACAGCAGAAAAAAATATCTATCGATGGGAGAGTAACTCCTAATAGATTCACTTTGCAAATTAATATTAAAAATTAAGCTGTTAAGTATTACTAATTATTAATTTATTTGGAGGAAAATATCTGGGAACTGTAATGTAGTTTTAAGCATAAGGAGAAATTTAAATGATTATGCAGCGGTTGGAAAAATCATTGCGATCTACAATAGAGGAATTCATTGGGTGGAAATCGGAATAAAACAGAAATTGCATCACCAAGTCACATCAGTCACGAATAGAGATATTGTGCAATGCGCTTTCTCTGAGGTATTCTCACACTATTGAAGCGGGAAAATGGGAGCTGAAGGATCTGGGGTTTTGATAGGGGAGTTGATGGCTGGGTTGATGTATTTATGGAGGAGAGTGAGAGGAAATGGTTACATTAATGGGTGAGACTAAATTCAGTAGCGAAGGGCGAAGATTTTCATCGAAATATCTCTCCTGCATTTTTAGATACCTATAAATACGACAATTCAGTTATTTCGTTTCTCTGTACTCACCAGTTCCAGACATTAGACCATCTCTAAACAATAAGTACTCCATCGCTGTTGCCCAATTGAGGGGTGACGTGTCAGTATCGTTAATAGTAAATGGCAGGGAATAAGAAACGTGATTGTGAAGATTTTTTCCAACCCCTGGCAAATGCTGAACCGTAGGAACACCGATAGCTGAGAGCTCATCTCTTGGTCCGATACCACTGTTCAAGAGAATTTGAGGGGAATTTACGGCACCTGAAAATTTAACGGTGGAATAAATCCCTTTGGAAATCTAGTGTCATTCGGATAGATTGAGGATTCAGTGGCATTCTGCGATACTCGTGATTTTTTACAGCTGAAATTTCAGGGATTTTATTACCTCCACTGACGACCACCTCTTTCCGGACATTGACACGACGCAGTTGATCCCCATGTAGAAATTCAACAGCAACTGCCTGCTTGTTCTGGTCAAACAGGATCCTTGTCGCTGTTGAATTGAGCATAACGTGGAGATTCCGACGATTACGAGCTGGACGAAGGAATGCCCGGGAAGACGATAGTCTTGATCCATTCCTCGACGTCATCTGAGCGATCATGAAACCAGTGTGAGACCTTCCGTTCAAATCCACGGCTTTGTATCCTGTAATCGAACAATCCAATGTCAATGGATTAGGGCTCGTAATTACTCGATTACTTAATTACTTTATTATGACTCATGGATATTCTATCGCAATTTGATCAGTTGAATTACCTAGCTCTCGACCGGCGTCGACCAGAGCCCGACTCAGAGGTGGATGATAAGGAAAATGGGATACAGTCAGTGGACCTCCAGTTGAATGATAACCGTAATCCACGTCATTGATCTGGACATTATCCTCACTGCGTAAAAAATATGGGAGTACATCCTGGTAAGACCAGCCGGCATTACCCATTCGAGCCCAATCGTCGTAGTCTTTTCGGGAACCCCTCATGTACGTCATTCCATTCATTACACTTGTTCCACCAAGAACCTAGACGAAAATTGATAGCTAAATGATAATATTTTTTTTGATAATAAATTACTCTTTATAATAAAATCCTAAAGGTGGGAGTAAGTTCCTTTTGAATACAGGTATTGGAATTTCAGAGAGCTGGTAATATTTTTATACGGATATTTTAAGATGAATTTTTTTATGAGATCTTTTTATGGTTCTTTTTTTACGAGCGAGAGTTACACTGCGGGGGATACAATATTGATCGGAAAAAGGTCAACAGATTTCAATTCTTCTGGTCAAAGTCTCGGGGTACTACATCATAAATTCTGAAAAGGTTTTTGTTGTGTTCTGGGATTGAAGAGGTCGGAGGAAAAATGTAGCGATTTAGACTGGGGGATTTATTCGTGGATTGCATGTGGAAGATTTTTGTTTTTACCTTTCCTCTTGGCCAGTAGCACCTTCTGTCCTCTTTATTGAGACATGCCTCGTCCTCTGGCTCGGTGTTGTACTGCCAGTCCAGGTCGGTCCCCAAGAAGTTGAAGAAGAACGAGGGAATTTGGGTTCCAGTTGGTTCATCCATTCCTGCTTCCAGCAGTAAAACAGAGAAACTTGGCTCCTCTGAGAGTCTGGCTGCCACTGTGGCACCTCCACTTCCTCCACCGATGACAACAAAATCATAACTGGAAAAGTGGAAATCGGAAATTGAAGAGATTGAGACAAATTATCGTTTGGGAATTGAAATACTCGCAGGACTTCAGCTCCATACAAATTCCCACCTCATTACACCAATCATTAAATCTCAAATCGAATCATTTCATTCTCTGTTTCTCATTTCTCCAGTGACCCTATATAAACTTCTGTCTCCTCCAGCATAAAAGATGCAATGAACGATCTACGAATCTAGATTATCTATTTTTCTCAATGATATTTGTGAATCACGAAGTGAAAGTCATAATCCAATCTGTGGGACTATCTTGATTTCTTGATTGTAATTACGACATTACAAAGCCCCAGGGTAATCGGTAGTATTGAGCGGATTTAGCCTGAGGGTCTATTGGGTACTTTTGCGCAATGTTGAATTAGCATTGATGATTGAGGAGAGAGAATTTAAGCAAAGTCAAATGAGATTTGATGGAGAATAAGGTGGTGGAGTGCAAGTCCCATTAATATTATTGTGCATGTCTCATTGAGAGTTTATTTATGGAGCAGCTGATTGGCTTGGAGTTTAGTTGATACCTGGAGTTGATCTGAGCCGGTGGTTGGGGCCTGTTGCACGGATCTTCGAGATCACATTGACTCCGCAGGAATACCTCCAACAGGCCCATGAAGAGCATGAATGAAGGCCCACCACAGGTCGAGGCTAGGGTAGGACCTGGCGCCGTTGTCAGCGGACACTGGCAACTCATTCTAGAAATAATCAAGTAATTTATTATTTATTTTTTATTAGAAAAAATTGTTGTAGGTGGAATTGATAATTCTTTCGAAGTTTCATGGGCAATCATCAAAATAGATTTTGGTCAATTATGTGGGGATAGTTGAAGGAAAAATTATATGCGAAATTCCTGGATATTTCAGTGGAGCCGCAGTATGATTAAAATTTTAATTAGAGACTGAATATTTAGTATTCTTTAGTGTATTGCATTTTACAAACATTTTGTGTCCGTCAAACGCGGTTTACAGATAGTTCGAGAGAAATTATGTTCGTCATTTGGTCGGAAATAACTTTTCCAACTCGTATAGTCTCGGACCCTTTCGCTCGTCGTAAACTTTTTTTTTCTCACTCGTATGCATTTAATCTTTGAAAACCGTTTGAAATTTCTCGAATAATTTGATAACCATTACCAAAATTGAGATAACTTTCGATATTTATGGAATTCAATTCTATTCGCAAGAATTATGGATTATTTGGGGACTTATAAAATCGAAGTGGTCGGAAATGATTTTTGGATCTAATGCACTTTTACGGTTTTTTTTTTATTACAGCACATAATTAATTTTCCTAAATCCCATTCTTCATCAGCTCATAAAGCCAGTTCTAGTGGGTTCACTAGACCAATGTAATGCCACGATTATACGGTTCACGTTTGCGTTATTGCTTTCTACTTTATTGCCTCGACTTCTTCCTCTTTATTTCGTACGTACATTTAACAATCTGCGAAATGTAGAAAGAAACAACATTTTTATGCGATCCGGTACTCTTGCGTTGTTTACGACGAGCAAAAAAAATAGAAGAAGTTACCGTCGTCGCATCTTAAACTCGTTCAAACAGCTTTTCAAGGAGAATTTACTCAGTAGGATTGAAAAATCCCTGACTGCTGAATTTTTTCATACAAATCCAATAATTTATTTGGAAAATCAAAATGATTTTTTCACAACAAAAATCCAGCGGGAGATAAATAAAACAATTTATCGAAGAGCGTCAGAGGTTTTTATTCTATCATTTCATTGAGAGTATTTTTACACTTTTATAATCGCACCTCTGTGAACTTTCAATTAAATTGAAATTAATTAAACTGAATAAAATTTTCATTAAACGGAAAAGTGGTAATTACGATGTTTTCGTTGAGGTACGGGTGAGAATTAATTAATTCGTTTGTTGATTGGTGGATTGATGAGAATCGATTGAACCGTTGGCGCAAGTCGCCGGATCGGTTTGACTTTCGGGTGTTCACTCGGTTCATTCGGGTGTTCATTCGGGTGTTCACTCGGGTGTTCACTCGTCTATTACACCGTTACGTTCACTGACCGACAACAGTACACCACCGCGAATTTCCGTAATCCTCAATGGGAATAAGTTCTTATGAACGATCGCTATATCTCAGTTCATCAATCTTTCTCCTGTTACAACTGTCCTCAATCATTCATCATGATAACATCTTGAATAAAAATTTTCTCCTGTACATTTTCAAGTTCAAAATCACCATAAACATTCACCACCGAATTTCCCCAAACCTCCGATTAATTAATCACAATCAATTCCACTTACTTCCCCATATAAAAAATAAATAAAATTGTCCGACCATTTCAGTCTGCAAATCATAAATAAAACCATTCCTTTAATCCAAAAAAATAGCAACAATTAAACTGATTTATGATTGACCTTCACTTTCATCTCCAAAAATGTACCACAATGACGTGCAACGATAATTACAACCACGTAATTATGGTGTGGGGGGCATTGCGTACTTGAGCCAGTGAGAAAAATAATCCTGAGGGTAATTGTGGTGAATTGTAAGGAGATTCGTTACCCACACGTTAGTACCCCATGTAGTGTCGTAAGAGTGAATACCCGGAAGAATTTTGCCGGGTAAATGAAGGAAACGCGTGTATTTTATCTTCCTTTCATTCATTCCCTTGAGGTTGTCAGTGATTGGTTGAAATGTTGTTTTTCTAGAAATATCGAAACCGTGAAGATCTAGCAAGCAATGGATATAAATATATTCATCTCCATTTAACGTATCTAATTTCGAAATTTCAATTATCATTGTGAAATTCATTTTCCCTCACTTCCGGTTACAATTTCCCTTCACAAAACATTTGAGGTTTAATGAGTCGGCGTTTTTCATACCACTCATTATTTAAAATATCAATTCTCTCAGGTAATTGGCCCATACACATATTACGATTCAATTGACACGTATTTCCATGTAAATTCCTTCATTACAATTTAATGACTCTTTTTTTTATTTTCATTCCAATTTTTTCTTTCTCCTCGTTATTACGTGCACTCTTCGGGTTATTGATTTATTATGAAGAATTATCGGGAGTTGTGCAGTATTTTTATTCGATCGTGCGATTATTATTAACACTCGCTATATCTTTACAGAGTTTTTTGATGTGCTCTTGCGCAATTGAGTTTACGGGTGCAATGCGCTCCTCATGTCAGTCTCGTACCGTGATTGTACATGAGATTAAAAAAAATACCTGACATGCAATGAGAATAACTGGAGAGATCACCCTGGACAATTATCATACAGGTCAGTGAATATTCAGATGATATCAGCAGCCGAGTGGGAAATGACAATTATTCCGAAAATTTATTGAAAAAATATTTTTTACGAATATTCTCCATGTAATCTATTTTCAAAAGAATTTTTTCTCAAATTTCATCATTTTCTGGAGGAATCACAATCCATAGTATGATATGCATAGCTTAAAAGCACCGAAAAAAGCACCGAAAAAAGCTGAAAAAAAACGTTACATACTTTTTTTTTAAAGGGATAGTGAAACGGGAAAAATTCACCGCAATTAAAACATTATTTATTCGTGAATTTCCAGTGCGCAATTTTATTCAACTTTTTTCAGTTCAGCTCGACCCATTTTTCTCGTGTTATCATTTCTCCACGCATTTAATTCTCTTATTTATTCTTAATTAATTAGTTAACGAGATAATTATGAATATATTCCGGATATTTCACTGGAGTTTTTAATATTTTTCTTAATCCCGTACTGCGCACACCGAAAATAGATGAGTTTTCTCCTGATTCAAATGAGTTTTCACTTGATTCAAGCGAAAATCGCTGACTCCAAGGAAAAAAATAATTCATCTCAAGATTATTAAGATTACTATTTCCACCCACCCCGAAAAATTGTTTCAATTACATCACGGCATTTAATAATGAAAGCACTAAGACAGTGCGCGATAAATAATTGTTGAATTCGCGAATTGCAAATAGTTAAATATTGAAGATCACTGGGAATTTCGTGGAAATATATTGTGATGATGAAATATTAATAATTTTTTCATTTGGGAATAAGAAATAGTGAAATATTGAAGATCACTTGTGGGAATATATTGAGAGTATAAAATATACGCCGCTCACCTCGAGACTTGTTTCTTTTATGAACAAACAATAACAATGGCCTGAGCAAACGAGTGGATGTTGGGGTTCTTGCGGTCCCACGGCCAGAAACCAACTAGATCCTCTTGGCGTGAACATTCTCCTTATCCGTTGGATTATTCGACAGGGGCTCCACCACCTCCACTTCCTCAGCCCAGGATCCCGTCGCTGTACACTCAGAAAAATAATTACATCTCCCATTCAAATTTAATGGTAAACAATCAGAGACGATAAAATGAAGGATTTATCAAATCCCCAGTACACGGACTTGACGGAAATCATTTTTCCTCCGGGTAGAAGCACCAGGAGTTCGCCATTCAGGATTTGGGGAGGAACCAGTGATTAGAAAAACTCCAGGAACAGCACTTGCTGGTAGATTATTTGACCTTTATTAAACCTGCTTTACAAATCTCATACGTTCCCAGGGATGTGGACCTTTGATGAAAAGGAGCCAGAGCAATAACCAGAGTCTCGCAAATACTGAAAAGGTGTGGGGTCAGGCTACAGTGCTGGGAAGAAATTGAAAATTCATGAATAGTTGAAGGAATCGGACGTCGAAGGAATTTCTCATTCGATTTCATTTTGTGGAATAAATACAAAAATTACAAGTGCGAGTAAAACCTCAACATAATATAATTCATAAATTTAATTTTTTTTAATAACTCATGTGTCAGAACTATTGAACTTTCGCATACTTTCAATGTTCAAGGGAACGTTCGTCGGTAGTTCCGAGTTCTTCAAGGATTTTGATCTTCACATCTCGGGAATATCCAATTTTACTTGAATTTTGTTTATCAAAATGATGGCGAGTATTCAACAATTACGACTGATGGCAAAAATTAAAGTACCTCCTATTTTTTTAGGTTCACTGTCCATTCAGCGTCAATAGCGTGATAAAGTATCTTTGAGAACCGGTTCACATAATTTCCATTAATGATTGCCTGAACTGAGAATGACCTACGAATACTCGGCTTGAAAATAAAAATAGTCCCTGACTTCTAGAAAATCGAGAGAACCGCACAATTTATCACTTCTCGCTGAAAATTCCCATAAAAATGAATAATCCTTTCCAATTCCACTGCCAGTAATTAATGCTCTCAACAAATGTGGAGATAAATTGAAAAAAAAAGTCAATTGAAAAAAACTATTGCGGATAAATTCCAGTGATGATTATTTCAACCCAATTACACATCATACCGCAGCGTCTAATTGCGCTGAATTCTTTCATCGAAAAAAATTGTCAGGACACATTGTAATGCTGTTTGTGCAGTCTCTCCTACTTGTTTTTTTTTATATATATAAAAAGCCTTTCTAACGCACGTCGCGTTAACGTCGAGAATAATAAATAATTTCACGGATATCTATTTGTTTTTGTACTAGTTTTTGACGCCGGTGATCTGAAGTACTGGTACTCGTTGACATCGTAATCGTCATGGTCGTACACCGATCGTGTCTGGTTTTGCACATTTGGACTCTCATTTTCTTCGTATTCCAACTGAACGTTCCCGATTTCTGAAACGAATCGAATAGAAATTAGAACCTCCCATGAAAAATTATTCAATCACTTCATTGATTTTTTCAGATTTTCATTTTTCATCCTCTGAAGATCGGGTAAAAAACTCACTTATTGGCTGATGCATGTTGTTCTCCACCCTGATGACTACCCTGGGGATGGTTTGATTGATATTAATTTGCTTGCCCTCGCCGTAATCCACGAGTACAAAATCGGTGTTGTTATCGTCAGAATAATCCCCGATCTCGTAATCCTCGACCACGGGGGAACTCGGAGTTGTATTTTTTTCTGGTTTAATATCTGGGATTTCTTTCAAGAACTTCCGGGTCTCCGGGGGTTTCTGGATCCTTCCGGTGACTCCATCGAGGTGAGACACTGGCACTAATTTTTCCATCGTCGATACCAATTCTTTTGTCTTCAAATGAATAAAAAAAGAAATTATAGAGAGTAATATTAAATGTCAATGTTAATCACTCTTTAATTCTCCAAAAAAATCGTTAATCATAAAAAATGTTTATAAATGAGTTAAATAAAGGATTTAAGTTTCAGTATCAGTTTGAAAATTCAAATGGTCATCATAATATTCGGGATTATTCAGCATAAAAATTAATTGAGTTGAATTTTCAGGGTGAATAAACAAATTCGATTGACGATTTCGTCATAAATAAAATAAAATTATATAATTACCTTGTTCATGACGTCCAAGTAAATATTGTGTCCCTCCCTCAATTTATTCATCAACCGATTCAATTCAATCGGAATTCTCTCATCCATAAAAATATTTCCCGACACATTTCCATGTTTAACACCAAAAATCTTGTTTTCTAAAGCCCGTTCACGCTCCGAATGATAATCATTTCCCCTCAAAATATTCCAGAACGGTTTCCCCTGTTGCATAATTTCTCCGGTAGAATTTCGTGAATTGAGTGTTGGAAACCAGTCATGAAACGGCTTGTTGCGAACAGTAATTGTTCGTATTTCATCCAGCCATAGATCATACGCCTTTTGACCGAGAATATTCTTCACCGAGTTCAGCCACTGTAGAAATTCCTGTTCCAACACGGCATAAAATTATACAATCATCGCGATGAATTTCGATAATCAATTGCAACAATTACCGTGCGATTAAACCGAGATTCCCCGGCCTCTTTCATCAGGTAATTAATAGCTTGTGCATTACTCCTGATTCGAAAATTATCCCAAGGAGTTGCAGTAGGAGATGGAGTAGAATCGATGAATCTCACCTGAACGAAATAAATAATTACAATTTCAGGACCGACAATTGATTGAATGAGAATAACGAACTTTTCCCATTTGCCGATAATAGGCAGTTGGCAGTGATGAATCATTCATTGGCGTTGTCCGACCGTGACATGACCGAGTAATTCTACAATTGTCGCTTGTACAAGGGCTTTGAACTTGATAAGCGCATTGCTGACCTTTGGGACATATCCAGCCGTTACATTTTTCAGTTGCTAGCAATTCCCTATCGGTCGTTGCTGTGCAATCAGGTGTGTGTTGACAAGCTGATGATCGACAATTGTCATGGGGTCTTCGGAGGAAGCACTCGAACTCGGACAAACACCCAAGAGATTTACACCTCTCCATCCACACGTGCACCTCTGATCATTCCAATTAAATGATTCGTTAAAAAATAGTTAAAAATAGTTTAAAAAATTTGCAATTGAAAACTTCGAGTTCATACTCCAACAGTGCGCTCAACAATTTTTCAATAAAAATCCCTGAGCGACTATTGGATGTGAAGATATAAATTAACCTTGAGCATTGGCACAGCTCTTGAATAATTTGCATGGAGGTCGATTGCAGAGTGATTCCCTGAGGATGCAGCGTTGACCTGAGGCACAATTGAATCCAGCGCACGTAGCTGGACCATCAAAATACTCTTGCTCCGTAACGCACCTAGCGACTCTATCCTTGCACGCTAATTAACAAAAGATCAATTAAATCCGAATATAAATAATTACGTAGGAGCAATAAAAATTATGCGCACATTCATTCCAACTGCACCGACCCACTCTAATAACGCAGACGTGTCCCTTGGTGCACCTGACGGACTCGCAGGAGACAGGTCCTCTCAGCAGTTCTAAATGCAATTATATAAATAGACTGGTTTATTTTCACCCGTGTTATAATGATCATCTAATTAATTTTTTTTTTCATTTTTATCGTACCTGTACGCGTCTTTGCGCAGTACAACATGCTGGGGCAGGGATAACGTTCACATAAAAACTTTCTGCTTACACAGCGCTCATTTTTCTTACATTTCACAAAGGTACAGCCACCCGGAGTCTCGAAATTTCCGACAACTGGAAAGATTATGAATAACACATGTTTTATTACGAAATTATTTCACCGAGGTGTTGCTCGTAGTTTACAATGCGATGAATTATCTCCACTGGTTTTCCTGGTATTCTGTGTGCGAAAATAAATAATTACCGGTGAGAAACTATTTTTTCGTTGGACTAATAATTTATTTATTTATCAATTATTTAATTCATGCAGGCATTGATCCATTAATTTACTTCTTTCCAATGAACAATTCCGTGTTAATTGACTCTGGGGATAATCACCCGATAATTTTTATCTAGAAGGATGAAAATATTTCGCCTTTTCCTTTAAGATCATTTATTTTCCGTCAAACGCATGATTAAGTGGCGTTTCACGACTAACACTTCACTATTGATTTTTTCACACATGATTCCAGAAAATGTATTTCGAATTATTTATCACTTACTTCTGTATGAGCTTCTGAGCGACACGTGGGACATTAAAACTAAAACGATCAGAATGTTCCTGATCCATCGACAGAAATGCATTATCGATGGAACATGCGAAACGTGTGAGCTATGAACAACGAGTGAGCATAAATTGTAAATTGATATCGCGAGTTTTCATAACCGGACACCACAAATTCATAACAAACTTCCACAAGACTTCCATCACCCAGCCTATAGTGGACTGGAATGATAAGAAAATCTCATTATCTTCAAAATAATTCTATATTTTAAAAATGAAGAAGACATTTCAAGTCATCTTTTCATAAAAATTCACGCATCCAGACTCCAAGCATTCAGGATTTATTTTAATTTTGAATCGATGTAATTTAAAAGAATTTGTATAATCAATAGAATTCCTTTAATTATCTAATTAATATAATACACAGCCAGTAGCGAAGAAATATCATCTAAGTTTCTAAAAACTTAACTTATCGAGTTCTCGTGTCACTGGTGAATAACAAATTATGATTTATGAAGAATAAAAGCTATTCGTACGCAAATGTTGTTGAAATTCTAAAAAAAAATACACTACGTTAATTTACTTCTTCTTCTCAGTTAAATTATGTGGAATTGTCACGTATTTCCATGTGAATACTCTCCCCTTACGTATACATATAAAAGTCCAAAAGAAAATCTTAATGCATTCGTCATTAAATCCTTCTAGGTTTTCGCGGAAAAATCCGCTGTTTGTAACTCAATTTTCCAAGATATTCTTCATTATCTAGATATTTCATTCTGCAAAATTATTTTGAGAGAAATTCACTTGGATCTTATTAGTAATTTAATAATCATTTGTGTAATGAAAATGTAATGGATCATCTTTTTCAATTGTTGGAATCCATTTTTGCTGACAATGATTTTAAAAATCTGAGGCTTATTGATTTTATTGATTATTGACCTATCGATTTTATTAAATTCAACATTCAATAATCTTGAGTACCACGGAGAAAATTAGAAAGCTATCGATAAAAATCGAGGAAACTTTAATAAAATTTCACCATGATTCCCCAGGGAATGCGCCAAGCCTCATGAATTTTTCAGCCCATGGCCTCCAGCATAAAACTAAGAATAAAGGGGCAAATTCCCTTCTCGAGGGAATTCGCACGATGAGAAAAAAATCCATTCGAACGCGGTTGCACGAAGTACATTTAACTCGAATAAATAAATATCCCAATAACTTCACCCACCCCATTACTTCATTCCAAAATTTACCCCACAAAATGCAGAATTCAAAATTATGATCGCAAATTCGTAAAACTTCGGAATTTATCCCGCTGGCGAATGAATTTACGCTGAATTTATTCCGTCGAGTTATTCATCAAGAACTGGGCTGCAACGGATTTAAAAAACAGCAATTGCATTTATTCTATTGAAGAAATTATTCTCCACGAGAAATATGGCAATTGTAATTTTTTATTTAGTGAAAATATCCTAGTTATTGGTAATCATTTATTCTTCTTAACATGAAGCTGAAGGAGTCCGGCAAGTGCACTGGTGAATCCAGCGTTGTAATCAAGCGTAACCTCAGTATAAACGTAATCCTCTCTGTGATCTCGAAACTTATCTGCCTCATCGGGACCTGAAACGAGAGCACCGTAGAGGATCTGAGGATTTGGAGCTTTGCGGTCGAATTCAGGCCAGCCACAGTGAGTTGGTAAATTGGGGCAACTCGAGGCAGCATGATGAGGCTGTTGCGGAGGATTAATTCCCCATCCAACAACATAACTTCTGCCTCCACCACCGAGCATATAATGGATTTGGTGTTTGGCGAATTCACGGTACTCATGGGGATCACCAATTCCCGGAGAATCAGCTGCCTCAAGGCAGATGAAAGCAACATTGGCTGCATGACAGAGAGTACCAAATTTGTCGATATAAACTAGACCTTTTGGGGTTCGTTTCTGCTGTTTCGATGAGAAATCGCAGAAAGCACGAGCTGCGTTCTCATATTCTGATTGTCCTGTCAGCTGTGCCAGGAGGACCTGCACACCAGCGACTTTTTTGTTGTAGAAGAACTCGTTGGGTCTCTCCTTCAGGTGGAAGTGCTGGTAATGGTGCTCGGCGTCTTCTAGGTATTTCGCGTCGTTGGTGGCTTTGAAGAGCCAAGCTGCTGCCCAGGCTAGCTCGTCACCGTAGTCTGTGCTCTCGTAGAATTGAGCTGCATTTTTTATAGACTCGTGGTAGAGGCCGCGATGGATGTTGGCGAATTTGTACAGCTCACGGGCATGACGTAGACACTCTGAGCTGTAGGAGGGATCGATCATCTTGAAGACTATGCTCGAGGCTGCCAGGGCAGCTGCTGTCTCACCTGCTAGATCTGAACCTGTTGGTGTAATTCATTGTTGAGTTATTCATTAATTATGTGTCTTACAGTTTTTTCTTGTTTTTTCAATCGACAAGAAATCAGTGTGACAATGTTTGGCAGATAACGAAAGCTAATGACGCGGGTGAGTACGCGGTTCACTACTCCGCATTCATTGAGTTCATTTGAGGCTAGCCCATATTATTGACTGATTGGTAATTGTGTTACGTGCAATTCAGTCCGACCGTTTAAATTGAATTTATTCATTCAACAGTGGATTCAGATGAAAGGACAAATCAGCGACGAAGTTGTAACACTCAAGGATTTTTCCTACTCAGAGAATTTTCCTTAAAAAAATGCCATCAGTCTAATAAAAATTGAAATTTCTTTCATCAAAAATATTGTCATCAGTAAATTGCAATCATAAGCTTCAGCTTTTGTCCTGATCACTGATTTCATTTGAAAATGTAAATTCTATTTGCTAATTGACTTGTGTTATGACTGGAATTGAATAGTGTTGTGGCTAGATCATAATGTTTGGGTGGAACGTAAAAAGTCAAACGGTTATACACCACTGCACATTTCAATACCCAAGAGGAACGACGTAAGTGCCGGTTAATTAATATTTCAAGACAGTTGCTCGACGGAGGACGCGCACTGTCACTGGAATACCAAATCGAGCGGCTCACGACTACAACTCTCGCATTTTACGTTCCGCAGATTTTATAATTTCCGGATGAGACGATGGAATTTAATTCATTTGCAAATCCGCTCAATAAAATCAAATTTCCCATTAATCCCGGAATTCTCCAACAGAATCTTTTCATCTACATGAAGAAATTATTGATTTTAGTGTTCCGTTATTATGGAAATAGTCTACCTGGATGATCCTTGTCGATTTTGAATGCAGGTCTTGTCGTGTTGAGCTCCTCGGGTCTGCCCCAGAAGGTGTGATCGAGCGAAAAATCCCCCACTTGACCGTAGAAGACGAACTCGCTAACGTGACACTTGATGAAGTAATCGGTGGCCCACTTTATTGATTTGCGGACTTGATCGAGTTGACCCGCGGCTTCGTAGGCTTCTGGCCAGCTGACTACACCCCAGGCAAGTAGAGTCGTCGTCGAGGCCATGGTGAAACCAAATTTAACAAAATCCCCAGCTGAAAATTCCAGAATTCCACTTAATTACCCGGGATCAACCTCTCAATTAACCAAAATAATAAAATTATATTAATTTTCATTCTTCAATTATTCTGAGAATTCTGCCCCTCCGCAAAATCCACCGATTGCAAAATCTCCGTCTCACCCTTGCACAAATTATTCACATTTCATCACTTGCTCTTCATACCCTAATTACGCTTATTGCACGTTTCAGGCTGACAATACGGAATGTTCACACACTTAAATAAAAATTCATATACAATGTGACTGACCCACTCCGAGACATAACACTTTTGATGATCAAGAAATGAAAAAAGATTCTGAATATTTTTTATTGAATCTTCAACAAAAATATTTCCAGTAGCTCTCGGACTCTCTTCAATCCTCTTTCACTGAATCACACTTGCCAATATCACTTCGATTAACCGTTTCAAAACGTTTAATGAAAATTTCCCCTCCGATAATCAATTACGTAAGGTATTATGAATTTATGCTGGTTAAATTACCATCGTAATAACCGCCCGTGAGATCTTCCCCATGAAGTCCCCGATCATCAAGAGCGGAATTCCCACGCCAGGGAATTCTGTTATCTGGAGGCAATTCACCAGATCTCTGTGCCTCATAGAACATCAATGACAACTCCAATACCTTTGCGTAATCACTGACACTTTCCATTGGTTTCACATTTGGTGCAGCCAAGCCGTGAGTCATTAACGACACACCTAGAATCTAGAAGAAAGAAAAAAACATTGGCTTAGAGTTTCTTCATTCACCTCCAATCCCCAAGCACTAGAAAAATATTAAAATCCCCACCTGAAGGCCCACGTGGATTAACGTAAGTTCAATTCCACATTGAAACTTCAAAAATACTCTCTTGAAACACACTCTATTGAAAAAACTCTTAAAAATCTTACCGACAAATAATTCATGTGGAATGTCAATTACGTCAATTCATTGACAGATAGAGTAATTTCCCATTTCCAATGACAATTCAATCACTGAATTAATATAATTTTCATTTATCAAGCATTATTCATGTTAATCATGACTAATCACCTGATATTTTCCTCAATATTCCTCTTACATTTTATTTTCTACAAGCCCACGGCAGTAAAAATAATTAAGACTTCTCGAGATTCACTAAACTAATAATCCGCATTGCGTATCTCGCGAAAGTTCAAGCTGTCATTAACATAAACCTGATAACTCCCCCCGAGACCAATAATTGCATCAAATCCACTCGACAAATAAATAGTTCAATGAACGATTCGATTGAAGTAAAAAAAATGTGGGCTTGCGTAACCCCGACTTTTCCTACAATTTTCCATAATTACTCTCCCCCCCACAAGCACACAAATCCCTATTTGAAGTAGAATCCCGAAGGATAGATCCCTCAAGCCATCCAGAAGAATGTAAACCCCAGAAAGCGGTGAAAACTTAAAGGGAAACAAACCTCAGTACATATTTGCAATGAGTATTGACGTATGTCACACGGAAATTACGCGTCCATTGAACTCGAGAAATTTTCTCAGAACGTAGAAAGATATCTCATAAGCCCGACTGGTGCACTTCAAGCAGAATTGAATTCCATCGATTGAAAGGGATATGTCTTAAATAGAAAATAATCCTTGCGTTATTAATATTTATAATATTTATAATATTTACCACGAGACAATAGTACATCCAGCGAAGGTACATGATGCTGTGTTTATCCTGTCATTCACCAGGATAATAACCAGGTAGATTTATCGTGAACGATAGCATCCATTCCTGATGAACTACCCGAGACTTCTGGACGTCCCCTCGACGTCAACAGGTGCATTTCAACGGAATACCTATTTGCAGAATCTGACTCTGCATCTTTTCCTTTAATTCCACACGGCAGTCAATCAATACCCAACTATTTCAATTCTCTCTTTTTCCTTTTCACATTGAAAAAAGGAACAATGAGTGCTGAAGGCCGCGAACGTCCGGTATTATCACTTGCGTGCAGGAAAATTACAAATTCAACCTGGGAAAAAAAAAAAAGAATTCAACTGGATGGTGATGAACTCCAGTGTTCGTGTGTCTGTGAAAGAAAAATTACTTTTTCGAATATCTTGGGAACGTGCACAACCAGGTATTCGAGATTATCATAATCTCTCGGATTTATCGGAGGCCTCAATACATTACACTCGTGCTTTTAACTTTGAAATTACCAGTTATTATTATTTTTTTCAGCGATGAATCAACGCACATTACTTCGCTCTTCGTTCCTCTAAATTCAACTGAATTTACTGATTTCGCCCTTAAATATACATAAAAAGTATAAATAATTTTAGATCAATTTTATGGGTGGAGGGATTTTTTTTCTGGGGCTTGTCATAGCAATTAAACTTTGATTGTGATTATCTGTGATTATCTCGTTATTGTTTGTTATTTAGAGAATTGGCGGTTTGATTTTTTATTCGAGTGGTTTTAGTTTCACTGTTCACTAGGAAACCACGAATAATGGATTGACGATGGATTGACGATGAATTGGCGATTGAGTGAGTGGAAACGAGGAGCACACGATTTCTGCAGAGCTGGTACTGTTGGTCTCGCGAATCCCACGGATGAACCATGTGGTGTGTGTTTACCACCACCCAACAACCCACCAGAGGAAGGGAGTCTCTTACGAGTTTATAATTATTCTGCAATTAGTCGAGGCTTACGTCTGGCTCGGGATTAATCAGACGCTGGGTAATCGATTGCTGTGGCTATTGATAATTACTGGTAATAATTTTACGACAACAATTTTGTGGAATGACATTGTTTCAAAATCAGTTTATTTTACAGACATCAGCTTTATTATTTTACACAAATTGAAAATAATTATGGAAAATATTGGATACCGTGAAAAACATCTTTTCGTTGGATTTAATATCGTTAATTAATTAATTAATTAATCTTGCTTGTTGAGTTTGAGTTGCAAGTTTTTGTATTTGAATTTTTAAAATTACATGGACTCTTTTATTTAAACGAAATTCAATTCAAATTCAAACAGGAAGTATCCGGATTTATTATTTGGTAATACATCATTAATTATTGATTACACTTGTTGAATTTGGTGTTTCATAATCCATTATTTTCCTACAATTCCTATTTTTTATTCAGTAAATGTCGTGATTAGCGACGATTTTGTGCCATTAATGGAGAATTATTGCGATAGACAGATGGAAAATTGAATAAACGGCAATTATCGTCGCTAATTGGTTCTGCTTGCGTAATGAATTTCCTGGCGGAATGCTCAATCAACTCATCGATTGGAGAACACGGAATTTCTCGGAGTGTCCGAGCCGCAATAGAATTCTTTCCCTCGAAAATTCGGGAATAGATTCAGCATGCGGTGACTTCAAATGAGGCAATGGGTTTCATTGAAAAGGAAAAGTACCTCTCGATTCCCTCGTTGAGGTTGTTACTTTCACTCGGTTTCATTGAAGAAATAATTTGTAACTCAAGTTCCCATTATTCATACCCACGGAGTTAATCGGAATTGAACTAGTGGATGCAGAAATTTAAGTGGACTCTGGGCATGAGAAATAAAATGAACGTGTGGAGTCTAATGTTGAAAATATAAAAATGATTTATAGCTCAGATTTTTTTGTCCCACTGACACCCAACAGATATTCCATTCTTGCTGTGTAATTATTTATCAATCGAACGAGAGTTGACGAAATGAACCGTCAATTCCGAATAGATCATCCTGAGTCTTTGGTTTGCCGGGTCTCAATGCTTCGTTAGATTTAACTGCCTCTTGCTCCTTGAACCATGGCCTGTAGTCTTCCAACTTCTTCATCCAAGTTTCTAATGAGACAGAATAAAAAAAAACACACGTCAACTACTTTACCTCGATATTTCGTTACTGCAACTCGAGAAATAAAATTCTGCGAGTTCATTCTATTGGATCGCTGCCGATTTAAAAGAAGTGAACAATTTAAAAAAAAGGGAATTTGAGCTGAGAAAATTCAGTGTAAAAAAAAAATATCTCAACAGAGTATTCAGTAATTTGAGTAGAAAATCCAAATGGAATAGACAAAAAATGTATCGAAAGTTGTAATGAATTCCAAAATATATAATGATGATAAATGGAGCGCAAACAAGTGATTAATTACCGTTGATTGTCATAATGGATCCAGCATCACCTCCATATTCTGTAGGCAGTATTTCCCTGGGTACGTAATCGTAGAGGGTTGTAATATTACTGTGCATGAAAATACGGTGTCTAATTTTCTCCTTGAGGAAGGGCTTGACGAAATTAACAATGGAATCCACCAAAGGGCTGACATTAATCACGTGAATCTCCTTGAGTTTCACAGGATAAGCCTCTTGCACACAAACGAGAAATTTCTTGACGAGATTTGGTGTAAACTTGGCAAAATGAGAAGCTGTTGCCACAGATGCATCAAGGACATACACATCTCCAGCAACTCCAACGAGTTCCTCCTTGAGACGTACATCTCCTATCATCATGACGAGTTTCATGGATTCAGCGACGTTAGGTGTTGGTAGATTCTTGTCTAGTCCCCGCATTATCACCACACGGCGACCGTTTTTCGTGAGTCCAGGAAGCGGTGGTATTTGTCTGTCAGGCAATATTAATCAAAATTAACTAATGATAATGAATCTATTCTATTCAGGAATTAATGAAATCCTGTTGAATGATCTCAAGATTATAATTATAAATAAAAAAGTAAATGGACTAACATAAGTGCGGGAAGACCTCTCATCTCGGGACTCGTGATGTCTCGATTGCTGAAGAATTCTGGGGCTACTGCTCTCATCGTGAAATACATGTCTAATTTCTTTTTACATTTCTCCAAGGAGAACTTGCAACCCCTCAAGAAAGTCATTAATCTCTCGTCGTCTGTGGAAATTAAATTGAACTTCAATAAGCAATTCAAATTACATTCAAATTAAATGATCTGTCATTACAGTGAGACATATTTACCAAAAGTATTCGGCAAGTGTGGCTGTTTTTTTAGCCAATCCTTGATAATCTGTACATCCTTGTCCCTTGTTTCCACATTTTCATTGAGCTCCACTCTAATGAGTTTGGACATCTCCTCGGTCGGTTGTATCAACATCTAAAAATCGGAAAGAAGAATGTCGATTTTTAATAAATTTTTATGGAATAATCAATGGAATCTCTGAACACAGTGTAGTGCATCCGTAAAATTAATGAGAAAAATGGGAAAATCCAGAAATTATTGTGGAATCATCAACTAATTGCGGTGAACATCCACAAGTAAATGAGAGAGCTCTCATTCCTTGAAAATTACCACTCAGCCTCCAGGTAATTCCATTTTTTTTTTCTACCAGAATCAGACCATTTTCCTCTTCGACATTTAATTAGTATTAAACCGTCGAATTGTCCATGCCGTAATCAATGTCATAACATGATCGATTCATTAAAAAGAGGAGGAAGGGTATTTCATAATATAGAGCCTTGACATTTGCCTACATCAAGAACCTGATTCTGATAAATTCTCTCTCCTCAACGATCGTAGATGAATTTTGATTTTTTGTCCACACCAATCGATTATAACGATTCCACGTAAACAGAATCATTATCATCTCGAAGTGCGTCATAATACATGACTGATCAACTCATTGCGATCGAAAAGTCGATTAACTAACGCACCTCCAAGAATTCCCTCCACAAAAACAGAACGAGTACAGTGGAAATTTCACATAAACCCCGTGACTGGCAATTTTCTTGCGACATCATTGCACAATGGAAAAATAAGTGAGAACGCAATGACAAAATGAAGATATTCTCTATTTAAATTTAGTATCAAAGAGATATAGTTTAAACCAAGAAATTCATCATAACTCTGAATTGCTCAAGGGGAACTTTCACTTATTCTTCGTGAATCGACTGGAAATCTCTGAAAAATCCAGAGGCAAGAGGAAGCATCTTGAAAAATCGGTGTTATTACTCTTATTGTTATCCGTATGATTCATAAGTTCAATCCTGTAATCGAGATGAAATATGTAGGTGCAATTGCACATTGTGAGTGTAACGACTGTTTTTAAACTGAGAACAGTTCACTGAGATCAACGCACAGCAGTGAAAGTTTCGATGGGTTACGACAGACTGTCTGGTGCAGAGAATTTTTCTGATGATCAAAATTAACTGAGAAACTCTGAAACCGGAGGCTGCAATTACTTGACTGTACTGAATTATTTAATTATAATTACATTATTATATTTTCACATATCTTTGCGATCAGATTCATCCGCCGATTTTCTATTTCACGAGATACTGAATAATGTCCAAAAAAATTCGGTAATTCACCAAAAAAAAATGTCGGACAAATGTGACAAATGAAATATTTACGCCACGTAATTTTCGAAATTAAAATTAATTCAATTTTCCAGTAAATATCTGTCGATATTTAATTGTGAAATCTTCTCACCTTGGCAATATGATAAGTTCTCAATCCAAGAATTAAAGACGCACGTTAATTTAATCTGCCTTCACTGGCTGTTTATGCGGAAGACCCCACCAACTGATTCCAATGATTTTCAACAGATTTTCAATGAAACACTAAACGCTCACTGTCTGACCAAAGAGATGGAGTACCTTTTGCGGAGTGGGAACGTTCCAATGTGGACCGGTTCTCCTTATATTTCATTTTGCGTCCCCACTACAAATTCTTCCCCACCTGTGATATTTTGCCTAAATGTGATTGTTACAATCGAATAGCCACAATATTTTTTTAAAAAGACATTACATTTCTCTCTTGACCGAGAGAAACTCTTTCTCTCCGTATTATCATACACATCAGGTCATTTCGCACATTTTATCAGCGCAAGAATCGCCAGAGAACCAAATTATGTCATAAATATAATAATATTTATTCGGGTTGAATTTTAATACGCCGAGGCAGAGAAAAATGAACGGGTTCCCACGGAAATATTGACGAAACTTAGCAAATCGCTTTGGTAAGCTTACCAAAGTCCACAGAGCACCGGTTTCTATCGAAAATGTGAGATTTCATCTCCGATAATGAATTCTCTCGAAATATTTTCGGTTTGTGGGGACGGGTAATATTATTATGAAATAGAACTTAGAGTGGCCATCGTCATTACATTTGTGATGTCATGACTTTTTCATAACTTTTTTGTTAAGACTTAAGACAAGACATTTTTTCAGGACACAAGAATTTATTTGACGTCAGGTAGTCACGAGGAGAAATAAATTTCCCAGGGATTCCAAAAATATAATAATCGTCATAAAATCAGAAAAATTGATAAACAAACATAATGACCCATCCTTTTGAATTTGGTAAATTATATTTACTTCATTCATATTTGGTATTAAATTTATATATAAAGTTTATATTTGGTAAATTAAATCTGAACCACAAATGTAGGCCAAAAAAAGATAAAAAGTGGTTTGAAAGTTTATGGCTTTTACCAAATAATGAAAACATCAAAAACTAACAGAAAATCGACTCCACAGACTATGAATGACTCAACTAAAAAAAATGGAAGTGAAAATAATACCAAAAGCCCAGAAAAAGTAGACAAATTAATCCCGGTGGAAAAAAAACTGGATTACGATAATCTCGTGGGTTATGACGAAAGCCACTCTCGTGGGCTCGTGTGTCTTGGAGCACAACGTGAAATTTTTCGTAACATTAGTTATTCCCCAGAATGATAATTGCCTTTGTAAGTAAAAACGAAAAAAAAAAAGAATTTCTACCGCATGTCAGTGCATCGAGCGTTGCACAGAGCAATTTGCCATCCAGGATGCCAATGATTGTCGTCGTGCATGCGGTACGACCTTAATTAGATCGAGAACAGTAATCCAAGACATTGCGAAGGTGAATCAAGCCTTGGATTTTCCCCCCAAACATTTTCCCTTTTAACTGACGGTTTTCCTTTCCGATCCATTCAATTCCATCGATTCAAATGCCAGAGGGACTCTCCACACATCAAAATCATTCCACAGTTTTCAATTTATTGTTCATAAATCTTAAACAAATTAACTTTGGACAATATCAGAGGGTGAAAATTATGAGGGAAAAAACGCCGAACGTTTCCCAAGGGAGTCCCAGGGCACTGGCACCAGAATCTGCGCGGGGCTCTGCAAAAAACTCAGGAGTCGTACCTTCGGTGGTTTCGGTACTGATATCAGTCTAAATAACAATTTCCGTTCTTCATAAATTTAATATTATCTCTGCTGAATGTTCTTACTCGTTTTATAAACTCACTGAGCTCGTTTCCGGTGCAGCTTCCGAGGGTGCCTCTTCGGGATTCATTTCGTCACTCTCTAACGTCTGGAAATAAATTGTACTTGAGATTTTTTTATGATAATCCATGAACTTTAGCACGAGAAAGGAAGACATTATAGCGCTGATGTTTGCGTGGGGATTCACCTCGTCATCGTCATCAGAACGGGCAACTCGTCCTCTTGGAATGCCATGACGTAGAAGGGCCAGTTGATGTCGGTTCTGACGGCATTCGGCACTTTCTAGAGTCCATTTTATGATCTTTGGAATATCGGAGATTAGTTTTGTGCTGCTGATGAGAGATGCACCAGGTCCACTTGACAGAAAGGGAACTCCTCCCTTGGAATTTTCCAGAGCCGTGAGAATCAGGAGAGTGTCATTGACGGAAGTCTGGAAAAATAAATCAATTCGGTGTAGCATTTTTTTTTTGGTTGTCTTTTTGAAATTTATTTAATCGAAACCCAAGGAATTTCGAGCGTTGGGTCTTGCGTCACAGGTGAATGCTACCGTAAAAATAAAACTACTGAATGAATTGGGAAATTTCATAACGCCAATCAGAGATTGTACCGATAGAAAATTAATTCGTTTCGGTTGTGTTGTTTATGGTGAATTTGATAATTAAAATGATTAAATAATTATAATTTAAAGAATTATTGAATCACTGAAAAATTATGGGAATTGAAAATACTTTTCGCCGCAGGAGCTCGGAAATTTCGGGCAATTCCTGGCTCGTCGCCACAACAATCAGCAAATATCCTCTCTCAGACGGAATAGTCTGCAAATCCCCCAGGGTATTTGCAATGATATCGACAACTCCTCCTGAATGTCTCAGGAATTTATCAGAACTTCCAGATAGCGGTGGGACCCCATCACTTCCCCCGGACTCCCCATGCAGAGAATCCAAGAAAGTTTTGAAAATCGCGAAGCGAATTTTGGCGATCATGTCGAGAAAATCCCAGGGCTCTCCATTCATCTCTTATGAAAGAAAAAATTAATTATGCAGAGACGTGGGTTTTTCCGTGCGGCGAGTCTACATAATTAATAAAGAGAATAATTAAATTGTTTACCACCTCCGATGGAATATGGATTGACAGCCAAGGGGATCCCCACTGTGGACTGATTTACATTGCCAGGGAAATTATTAACGGTGTAATTAACCGGATAATTATCCAACTTCGGTTCTGAGTCGAGAAAACTCAGTGGTATTTCCGTGTCTTGGGGATTTTCGTTGAATATTTTTGGACGGAAAATCGATGGATTTTCGAGAGTAAGTACTGATGGTAATGTGAAATTTCCTCCCGACACAGTACCTGTAATTTATTTATTAAGATTGATAATCGATTATTCATTCGAATAAATTCCAAATGAAATGAACGCTCTTGAATCTTCAATTACTAATTCAAAATATCCCCTTACAATAATTTCTCGCTTAGGAAAACCAAAGTACAATAACAATTATTATTATCGTTATAATTATAATCGAGTAATAATAATTAAAAATAGATTGAATTACCAATGTTCATCTGTTTAATTTGTCTCGCCCACATCATCAGGTCATTGATACCATCCCCTAAAATTTTTTTCCAATCGCAATTGACATTCTCAGCCCCAGAAATATTTCTCGACGCAACATGTATGAAACATTTCTATTAAAACGAGAAAGGGAAAGTTGTATGGGATATAAAAGTCAAGTCGTCGTATTATTTAAGACAAATGAACCTGTAGAACGCCTTCAGTGAAGAAAGTCGAGTTATCCTTGAACTTCCGCCATTGATCATCGCCCTCAGCTCCCTCGAGCATCACGAATATCACGTTCCTGGGATTTTTAACAGATTTATTCCCATGGACGTCAGTTAAATCCTGGGGGAGCAACGTCACCGGGGACTTGTTCACGTCCTCGTGAATTCTCTTCGGGAAGATGAGTCGGTGCAGGAGAGGGTCATGAGTGGTGAGGGGTCCCTTGGATTTGTCTGGATGGAGGATTCCGTCAGGATGATGTGTTGATTTTGTGCTGTCTTCAATAGTTGATGAGTTGTCATTCCCTTGGCAGTAAGCCAGGCATGACCCCAGTATTGAGAGGATTATGAAAACCTTCATTGTATTTTCGTCACTGGAAACATGTTTTTTTTTCTTTTTTACATATCATTTTGATCATTTTTATCATTATCATTGCTCTGCATTGAATAATTGTTTTTTTTTGTAATATAATCATTGGATATATTACGATTCAGCCGCTAAAAAAATGAAGTAAAAATCATTTTTTCACGACACGCTCCAACATCGAAATCAATCATTAATGAAGAATATTTTTTAGCTCTCCAAGAGGCTTTAAATGCAATCATTACCATAATTGCATATTTAATGAATGATAAAACTGTAAAAGGCGTCAAATCACTTCATCATTAATTTCTTATTATCCCGATAACAAGTGATGATTGAAAGAAATCTCTGTACCTCCAGAAATTTCACATTGTCTCGATAATATCACAATCACTAGATTACAAAAGCTCATCCCCAAAACGGGAGGGACCCCACTCCCAGTTAATTACCTATTTAATAAATTACAAATATATCAATCATTAAATTTTTGAAAATGTATTCTTCCGGAAATTCCTCCATTTCAATACTGAAATAAATAACCCACAAACGACCCCAAGGTAATTTTCAAAGCTCGTTTTTTCAAACCCCCAAAACTCCTAGTCATGAAAAATTCACACCTCATAACTGCGCCAAGAAGATAAGATCGATATAACTTGAACCGAATAGTCCGAGACTCGTTAAATAAATAAACTCTGACATTGAGCCTTCCTTCACTTAACATTACATTCATAGACAAACATAGCATTCACCCTCCTGAATGATTAATGCCAAAAAAGCCTGCCCACAGGGACATGATCCACCTAATTTCCTAATCGATGAACCCTAATGAACAGTAGGAAAAAAAATATATCCAGAAAAGTTGATTTAATTGATGTAAAATTCAAGGGGACACAAAGCCAAGGCCTTCTACCCCCAGTCATTAGTAATCTATTGAATTCTAAGACGAGTGGATTGAGTGCAAGTAATCTACCTTCAGCAATTTTCCCAAGAGCCTCTGCTAACAATTCCTCTCAATTTCTTCCCAATTTCTCTCAATATTTCAATTCAACTTTCGAGTACTTCTCGAGAAAATCCAACTCCAGTCGGATTCTTCGCTAAACAAAAACCATTCGGGCAAACATTCGTCACTGGGGTGATAAAAAAAAAGAATCACTCGAATCGATTTGAATTTTCATCAGGACAAACTACCAGTCTAGGCTCGAATGAGGAAAATTGTAAAGTAAAGTCGGTGAGCTTGAAATTACTGAATTATAAAACACTCTATCATCGTTTCCGGGTATTCATATACTTGCCGCAATATTTAGTTGGTGACATATTTAACTGCACTGTACGTTCCTCTATTTTTGATTCATCAACAAGAAATGTTTATCTATATATCGATTGTCTCTGACGTTGGAGAAACTTGACGGAACCAACGAGAACATTCTCACTCACGAGAAAATCTGACATTTACTGAATACCGGCTGTCTCCAAAAATTGAATCCATCCCTAGCGGCTCCGCGGCTGAAATTTTCAGCCAATAAAAAATTCTCCAGAACCAATTGTTGCTCCAATCCCACCAGAACCTCCAACATCTCCACCCAGCTAATTATTCACTAAAGATAGACTTAACAATTGGGAAAAATTGAGGAAAAGATTGATAATGTTTACTAGATTGGTAATGTTACATTTTCATCAACTGGGATTCCCAGGATTTTCTCGGTCTCTGAAAATATTATATATTATTATTCAAAAAAAGCGATCCGACCAAACAAATACCCGAAGAGTTTTTCAGTGATAAATAATCAATGAAGATTATAGCCAGTGAAGTAGAGACAGCGAACGTATAACGAACCAGGAGAGGCCCTCAACGGCATCCAGGTCTTTTACTGGGTACAAACGACGTCTGCGCATAAAAAACCCTCCCATTCGTCCACGTTGGGTATAATGCCGGTGTGGGAGCAATAAATATTACCAGGTAACTGTATTATATTCACCGTGAAGAGGGGGTTGTACAGTCCGAATAAACGCCAAGGGGTGATAAACATCGTACGATTAATGAGGAAGCCGATGTCGAGGATATCGCGAGTTCACGTGCTCGCGTTGACAGTTGTGATTGAATAAATTTCTGGTGGATGAACACAAGTTCTTCGAGTGATTTTTTCTGTGCCTTTTGGATTCTTCAGCCGGTTCTAATCACTTAGGAACGGCCTCAAGATGATGAAGACAAAGCATCAGGGCCTTGTGGCCGATCTCATGCCCAATATAAGATTGATGCAGATCAGTGGACACTTTATGTTCAATTACTATGGAGAGGGCAAGAAACTCATGCACAAAGTCTATTGCAGCGTGAGTATTTCTAATTATTTTTTCACCGCTTGATTGCACTTTTGGTGGAAAATTGACATGTGAAAAACTTTTACGCCATTTAATCCACTTGATTAATTTGGATAATTTTCACTGTAATCTCATTATTTTAACGTGGGTAATGAATAATGTGGGAGTTTTTTTTCTACTTCAATTCAGGTTCACCTGTTCCTAATCGTCCTTCAATTTGCGTTATGCGGGATAAATCTGGCGATGGAAAGTAGTGATGTTGATGATCTTACAGCCAACACCATCACTGTTCTCTTCTTCTTGCACAGTGTTGTGAAAGTCATCTACTTCGCTGTGCGAAGTAAATTGTTCTACCGCACATTAGCTATTTGGAATAATCCCAACAGTCATCCATTATTTGCTGAGAGCAATGCGAGGTACCACTCGATTGCACTTACTAAAATGCGTAGACTGTTGTTCTGCGTGGGTGCTGCAACAATTCTATCTGTCCTGTGCTGGACGGGTATCACATTCTTCGAGGATCCTCACAAAAAGATCATTGATCCCATCACCAACGAGACCACCATGGTTGAGGTAATTAGGCATTAATTACTGTGTATTAATAATTTGGCTGAATCGTTGATAATCAATGTTAATCGATAATCGATATTAATTCGATTTCCCATTTTTTTAAGATCCCGAGACTGATGGTACGGTCGTTCTATCCTTTTGACGCTCGTCACGGTGTCGCTCACATAGCAATGCTTGTATTCCAATTTTATTGGCTTCTCGTTTGTATGGTCGATGCTAATTCCCTGGATGTTCTTTTCTGCTCGTGGCTTCTCTTCGCTTGTGAACAACTACAGCATCTGAAAGCGATCATGAAGCCCTTGATGGAACTCAGCGCAACTCTAGACACAGTTGTGCCTAATAGCAGTGAACTCTTCAAGGTAAACGATCCAATACCATTTCTCTCCGACATTAATCAGTAATTTCTCAAAATAAATAGGAATATTATCGAAAACTCGGTGTGATTTAAACGGTAGTTTCTAAGTTTTCGTAAAGCTAATCCGTTAAACTTGTGGGATTAATTGGTGTACAGGCTGGAAGTGCTGATCACCTCCGAGAAACCAATGGTACAACTCAGCCGTCAGCAACACCCCAACAAGGGGACAATATGCTCGACCTGGATCTTCGGGGGATTTACAGTAATCGCCAGGATTTCACGGCAACATTCAGACAAGCAGCTGGAATGCAATTCAACGGTGGTGTTGGACCCAACGGATTGACCAAGAAGCAGGAGATGCTGGTGAGAAGTGCCATCAAGTACTGGGTAGAGAGACACAAGCATGTCGTCAGGTGAGTGATATCTGGTAATCCCTGGTAATCCCTGGGCATTAAAAATCGTTGATCAGAGGCTTGAGGAGATGCAATCCCATCAACTCTCGTGTTTTCATTAAAAGCACACGCCTGGGAATTACACCATAAAAGTGGAGCAATTCGATTGAAACATGTTTTTATCCCCCCGGCACCCGTAATGTCCTGTAGATTGACGTGTTTGCGTGACGCGATAAGCCATTCGCGCGATCAATCAATCGCCAATGTGATAATTCCAACCCTTCCATCGGAAATCATCCACGAAACTACCCCTGTCCCCTGGTGATACTAGACTTTATTCCAGCATCAATTCAGGGATCGCTTTTCTCCACTTACCTTCTGCCCACGCATTCTAATTTTAAATTGTAACAAGTAAATCGTTACTAAACCATCATCAACGAATGATTTTGTTGAAGCAAGGACTTTGAAAACATCATCAGACAAAATTTGAATTGGCCTCATAGTCTGGCCCGGGTGGAATGATTTTAAATTGCCATCAGGCAATCCCACATTTAATGAGCCAATTGTTTATTCATTAACGAGCCGTGGAGTCGTCATGATAACCCAGAGTACAAACATGAAAATGATACGAATAATCCATTAATTATGGGAATAACTCCTCCCCATGACGATGACGATCTCGTGTCCATCGATCGTTCCTCCGGTTGCAGACCGTGAAATTCAAATAAACAAATTACCTCGAACGAGAATTGCGATGTGGTGTGTCGACATGAAACAGCAGTTTTATAGCCATTTCATTTTTTTTCTTCTCTCTCAAACTTTCACCCCGTGAAGAAAAGCATTTTCCTCCAAGGGAAAAATGCGTGGGTTGGTGAGGGGGGTCGAATGTCGACTGGTGTTTTTCTCACAGTATTTAAAAATTCATCAGACTGGAGCGCGATATTGACCGCAACGGGGGACGTGCCCTCCGAACTGAACAATTCGCTGGGTCGTACATCATGTACATCATACCTTACGTGTCATATGGGGTATAGCACTTCTTACTCTTCTATACCCAGGAGTAACCGGTGGTTAGTCGGTCTATAAGATCTATCCATTGCCCAGGGCTCTAATCACGCGACCCTGCCACCTTATTCCTTCGAATCTTTACCCTTATTAGCAACAACTTCATTCTTACATTATTATTTTATCCACTTATCTCCTTCACCATAAATAAATCATATAAAATAATAATCTCAAAAATTCCAAGCCAATGCGCCTGATAATTCATTGCCGACTATTTTTGATAATTATCTAACAATCACTCGATTATTTAAAAAATTTCGATAGTATACGACTAATATTAAATGCAATAATAATTATATTATATAATGATATATAGTGTAGTTTGATATTAGAGTAATTCGAGAATTGAAAAAATCCCCGCAATTATTATTATGAATCAATTGATTTTGCCAATGAGATCTCCAGAATAATTAGTT